ACTGTGCCTTACAGAATAATTGGTTGTATAGACTAACATCAGTCACCATATTCATTGTATTTACGGTAATGGGATTTTTTTCTCTCCATTTCTCTACAATCTGAGTGAACCTGAGGTAGTTGGGAATCTAAAATGGTCAAAGCTCTCTGTAAGGCTGGTGGAGATACACCTTTCAACATCTACAGCTTTAATTGGAATCAGACGGGGTTCCACAATGTTTTGACTCAGGTGGTCTGAATAATATGAATAAAAAAAGAAATTTTAACCACTTTTTTTAAACACATTTTTTTTTATTTGTGTTAGTCTACCTCATAAAATACCCCCAAAATACACCAAATGACTTGATTTCCAAATACAACAGTTAGAATGGCTCAGCAGGTTTGTATATCCCTTCAAGGTAATTTGGATAATTTGTTTTGGACCCTCTTTTAAGTCACAAATAACCACAACAAAAATGTAATGAATACATTGAATTCTATCTATGTGGTTATATTTTTAGTTGACTTTTCATCTCAAGCCTAAAATCACCCTGAAGTTTCATGAGCTGCCAAACTGTCCTGGCTACCAATGTTCATGAATCACTAAGGCAACATTGCCAGATTTGTCGGGGAAAAAAAACACACACTGTGAGGAATCCGAAGCATGAGCTTTGATTGTTGGAACCCTGAGATCAGAGCCACAGCGCCTTCAACACCTGCTTTCATATCATCAGAGCATCTCCTTCTGTCGGCGTCAGCTCTGCAGAAAGTCTTTGCTCATCCACAAAATCTTATATCAGATCTGACAACAGAGGACCAGAAAGTTGAGCCAAAAAGTCAAAAAGGCTGATGTTATCAAGCCATCTGTTGGGATGGTGGTCCAACCTCAGCTGGAAGCCGGCCGCTGTCATTCATGCTGACCAGGCCAGGGGACAGCATACCTGGTGTGCATTTAGAAAGGCCGTCTCAGCTCACGCGGCTAGGAATCCATGGATCGGGCAGCAGGTAGCAGGGCAGCAGATGGCAGGGGAGACCACAGCCCACACATGGGCACACGTACAAACACACTGGACCTGATTCGGATCATTTTTACAGTGAACTTGCAGCAAACATCAGCATATGTTTACCACCTTGTATCACTAACTGTGCCTTCAACACATGTTCTGACTGTGTTCACACATTCCCACCTCTGTTCACGAGCACCTTTAGTTTGATAAATCAACCATTTTTTAAAATCTTTTTGCAGCAATGAGACATTTAGTCTATCCCCACATTCGTTCGCACTTATTAGCCAATAAGCTGGTGAGAAACAGCCCCCCTACTAGCCGTGGGTTGTTTGAGTCCTGTGGAGCAAACACCCTCACAATGTTATCGCTTCAAGGCTAATTTTAGCACAGGGTGTAGGCGCAGATAAGTTTGACTTAAATTAAGTCCAGAGATATGTTAGTTCTTTATGATTAATTTGCATGTTTTGTTTGTAATCAGGGCTTTATGAAACCTGCTTTTTTATTAATTTTCATTCACTATAAAACAAAAATATGGAGTTAGCAATCTCAAAGGTTTATTTAAAATTGTTTATAAAATTTTTATGACGAGCATGCCCCTCCCCCCACAAAACAACAACAACTTTATTAGTGATTTGAAAATTTGATTTGAGTTTATTCTCACATGTCTACAGATTTACCTATTCCCATTGCCTGTTACCATTACCTATGATACAAGGATAGCACACTAGAAAGATTTTTTTTTTTTGTAGTAAAATCTATTATCTATCAATAAGATTTGATCACACAAAATCTCTCGGGAAGTTTTCTTTAGCCAAGAGTATTTGGAAAAGAAAATCATGCATACTGCTTATTGTTACACACAGATTCAGATTTTTAGAGCAATCTGAATTTGATTTAAACTTCTGAAGTTTAGTGTCACCTTTAACCTTTTTTCACATCGGCGAAAAATGTAGTTATTAATTTCCTAAAGATACTCAATAAAAATCTCTCTGTAATATCCTCTGTAAATACAAAATCTTCATTCTTGATCATTTAATCTGTTACACAACTTCAAGAACAGTCTTTAAAGTAGTCAATATCTGCTTCATCTCCGCTGAAGCAATTCCTTAAACTTTACTCTCATCAAAAACCCTGTATATCTCGCTCCATGGCTCACAGAAATTGTACCACTCCACAAAGATCATCTGCTTTTGCACAAACAGCTTTTCCTTTTAAGACAATCAGACGGTGGAATCATCTTCCAGAATCTGAAACCGGCAGTCAAAAGCTAATTTCTAAACAATCTTATTACTGACTGCATATTTATATTTACAGCATTTCTGACTATTTGAGATTGAATGCAGTTTTTTCTTTAATATATTTATTAAATGTGTTTACTGCATTATGGGATTTACTGTCACAGCGGCCAGCTGTCGCCATAGGCTGTTGCTACCTAACAGCGGCGACTAATAACAAAGATGGCACAGGCACCGCATGGTGGAGGAGTTACATGATCAACGGGGAGCTAAAAGCAGTGATGAGTTCTCTATAAGGTTCACTATATATTCCCCGCTCTATATAGTGATTGAGGGATTTAGGGGTTAGGCTGGATGTTCGGGCACAGTTAGCTTATATGAGCTTTGAGAACAGAAACGTTTAAACCTAGCGTACTTGAGAATAAATGGGCTTCTGCATGCTCTTGCACGCGTTTAATAGGCGTTTCCTCTCAGGACTAGGTACAGGGTTGTTCATGTTTTTTTATTTTTAAGTGGAGAGGGCGATTCTTTTAAAAAAATTCGCGAAAATGCTCCACAATACCTTTAAGTTCCAATGTGTGTGATGGGAGGAGTACAAATACAGTACATATTAATGTACAGTTTTAGTAGTTTCTGTGCAAATTCAGCCTAAATTCAGACAGATTAAACATGAAGAATGGACTAACCTGGCGTAAACCAGATTCATATGTATAGTTCAATTTGAATTCTACACAGTATCCATCTGGAAAGGCTTCTGTGGAAAGTGTTTGCAAAAAGGACGGAAACTTAGTACAATTCTACACGCTGATTGGGTGAATCAAGTTTTTAGCCAATTACACCAGCGGGATCAGCTGTGCCGCATCACAATCTTGGTTTGTTTTGCAACTAGTTAATAAATCAAACTCTTATCGAATCCAGTCGGTAGGAACGCATAAACATCTTTTTTACCCACAAAGGTAAAAATCTTGTCCTTTTGCTCCTTTTTCAAAAAGAGAAAGAGGGTATTACAGCTAAAACTGGCGCAGTCATGTTTCTTTTTCTTCATCCTACCAGCTCTGGTTGATGCGTTGATGTCATACAATCAATGCATTTCAGTAGTCCAAAACAGTTCTCAAGGCTCGATGTTCACCATCGCCCAAAATTACTTTAAAATCACCGACATTCGATGAAAATGACCCAAAAGCGTTGCCGGCGCCATTTTTGCTGTTTTGTACACATTCTCACGTGATTTGAAAAAGGAGCTTGATTTGAAAAAGCCGGGTGATTTTCCACCAGATGGTGTGATTTTTGTCCACCTAGCGGTAATTTTGATGTAGTTACCAAAACGACAAACAAGCTATAAAGTGCTATCATGTGGCAGTCTTCTGTACAGTGATTCAGGTCATACATTAAAAAATGTTTATAAATTGTTTTCTCTTAGACATTGGAGAGGTGCATTTAAATGTTATATAGCTAAACATGTTAAGTTGATAACCTGTTATGTTATTATTATTGTCTTGTTGCTGCATTTATTTTGTCAGGGAAAACTAATCCTGAGTCAGTTAAAAGTCAGGGAATTCTGAAATTATGTAAGACTGTGGAAACCCTGTATAAAATAACTATGTATAATGATTCTCTAGAAAAGTCACATTATATTAATACTATTATCTTTTATAAACATACGTACCGTGACTCTAAAATAAAAGTTATTCATTTGTGACATTGACTTCTGTCTTGTAATTTATCTTTTTTAACCTGTCAAGTTTTTTTTAGATTTTTAACATTACAATTTATACTTTTCCAAGCATACAACAGTTCAAAGCAAAGTTTAGTTTGAAAAGAATGTGCAGGAAGGATTGAAAAGCATGTTAACACGGTAATGTAGGCTTGAGTTCATTATCTGACGCATGCATATACACACCAGGAACCTGTAAACTTAAAAAATACTGAATTACAAAAAACATTTAAAAAAACAAACATGTTTCATTGATATATATACAAAAATGAATATTAGGAACTATATTTATCAAACATTATACTGGGCAAGCAAAAATTGTTTCTGGTCAAATGAAATGTGAAAGTCACTTGCCCTTTGGGCAAGTGGTAAAAATTCTTAACGTCAACCCCTGGTTCTGTATGGAGGCGGCACAGTGGAGCAGTAGGTAGCGCTGATTGCAGCAAAAAGGTTCCGGTTTAGATTCCCAGCCTGGGATCTTTTGGTATAGAGTTTGTATGTTCTCCCTGGTTATCCGTGGGTTGTCTGTGGGCACTCTGGCTTCCTCCCACAGTCCAAAAACATGACTGTTAAGTTTATTGGCTTCTCTAAATTCTCCTTAGGTGTGAGTGTGAATAGTTGTTTGTCCCTGTGTTGTACTGTGATAGACTGCCCATTTACAGCTGGAGATAGGCCCTTCGTGACCCAAGCAGGGATAAGCTTGTCAGAAAATGGACAGACCTCTGAATAGTGGCTACATGCATTTTTGTTTGAGCAAAGTTTTCTTAACAAAGTTTAAAAAGGAAAAAATATCCTGCATCAGGGCTAATGCATCTGTTGACTTCGGGCAAGATGTTTTTCATGAGTTTTTGAACAATTCATCTTGCTAACAAGGTAAAGAATGGGCTGCAGAAGACAAAAAGTCTAAACTGAAACAAAACTTTAGAACCAATATTTCCCATAAATTGTAATTTATGCCCCATTTTTTATACCAAACCAGTCCATGTTTCAGCTGCACAAAAACCTTCCAATATGCCACCGGATCAGACTGTTCCATGTTATTTAGGGTAAATGATGCATCAAGTCATTAAAAGAAGCAGTGTATATCTTTATTCAGCTCTATGTACAACATTTACACTATGATACAGCATCATTACAGGGTTTCGCTACACAGTTACGATTGCACCATATTAGTCAGGCCTCAGTGGTTGGGTACCATGGTTATGAGACAGTACAAACAGCGTACATCTTTGGCTTCACTGGCATAACAAAACACAACACAGATATTTGAATGTAATCTTCCATCAAGGCCTAATGGCAAAAGAAATTGCAGAAGTGTATATATTACTCTGAAGTTGGCCCTGCACTTCTAAATGCAGAAGCCATCCCTGCACGGTTAGAAAAATGGGATAAAATGAAAATGAGGTGAAATTAAACAGGTTTTGTTTAGAGATTTGCCTTTTTTCCCATCCTTTCACCAACATACAGCTGCCAAACAGCTGAGAAGACAAAGACTGGACAAGAGGTAAAAAGGAAAAGAAGGGAGGGTAAAGCAGAGATAGAGAGGTGACAGTGAGACCGAAGCAGCGGCAGACGGAGAGATAAATGCAGTGGGGTCGCTGAGGTGAGGAGATGGTGTAATGATTAGATCACAGATACCCTTGAGCCTTCCACCAATCCCTCCTGTGCTCCAAAAAAAAAAAAAAAAAACAGAAAAGCAAAGGTCTGGAAGAGCTCTGGGAAGCAGAGAAAGGCCCGCAGCTCCAAATGGCCCTGCTGTCAGAGTTCAACTAGACGGAGGACGAGGAGGAGGAGCTGGAGTGGATTACTGGAGTTAGAGGAGTTCACTTTTATTTCTTTTTATCCCAAGGAAGGGAGAAGCAGAGACAGAGGAATGATCTATCACATTTGTGCCAATGAAGGTCTCCAAAAGCTATAAAGGTTTTTCCAGGATTTATAATCTGCATAAAACGTCCTGAACAGCAGATATTTCAAAATAAAATTTGGAGCCAAACGTTTGCTGCAATTTACTGAAAGATTTTGAAAGTGAGCAATGAAACCCTTCCTTTTAGTCTCGGAAGTGTCTGTCTCTCTGCCTGATAGCTTCGCCTCCCAATCATATGATGTCATCTCCAGACTTGAGCAGGTTGAAGGTGAAAAGTTGCATTTAGGATGCTTCCACCTAGTGGTCAGTTAGTGACACTGTTGGTGTCTTGCATCAAGTAAAAATGAAATAAATTAATTAATGTAAAGCATTCTTAAAGAGAACAAAATAAAGATAAAAGCAACGAGTGTCAGCTATGGCAGGGTGTTATTCATGACTTTCTCACATAATGGAGCCATTAAGTCCATCAAACATCAGTACAGGAAACCATTAACTGAAACTGTGGCACAATAAAAGTTGGCATCGACACAATGAAGACGTGACAGGGGATAGGGTGGGGGGAACTTTGAAAAAAAAGGATTGCCTTGGGGCTGATTTTCAAACATGACAGCTGCCTTGATCACGGTAAAATTTCAATCTGAGCTCTGAAACTTAGCGTCATCTTCAAACAAGCTTTCATACATCTTCACGTACAGCCTCTAGGGTGGCATGCTGGTAAGAGAAGATCCAAATGTGTCACATAAACGATAGTGGAATAAAAAGAATGAAATGGCAGCAATAATAAAATCAGTTCAGAATAGTCTTCAGCAAATACGAGGATGAACATTTTCTGATGAAAAAAACCTTCATTGAACTTTTTGACCTAAATGCCAAAAGCTACGAGTGAAGCAAACCCCCAATAACCACCCAAACACACTATACTCATGTTAAAGCATGGTGGTGGGAGTATCATGCTGTGGAAATGCATTTCCTTATCCATGGAGAGCTATGAGGCTATTTTAATAATTGCTTTAAAGGATAAATGATTGAGGGGGATAAATTAATTCAAATTAAAGGTGAAGTTTTAAAGATACAGTAACCACCGCATTCTGCCATCATTCCAAGCTTTGAGACTTAATGTTTCCTAACTGAGGACCTTCCAGGTGGCTTGGCTGTCTCCACCAATAGGCCGCTAATGCCTGCAATAAAAAATACCCTAGGCGGAAGAGCTCATGTTAACAGAGCAGCCACCGATAAGAGCAGAGGATCCATTACGATCGGGGCGACTGAAAACACGAGAGGCCGCTGGGTGGAGGGATAAAGCACAAGAAGAAGCAGGAGGAAAATGGGAAGAATAACGATCAACCGCTGGCAGCTGTGTGGCGACGCTATCCGACACCGTCGCCTTTCTGCTCGTCTCCAGGAAGAGCGAGAACACGCTGCGATCACAATCAGTAGGAGGGAGTTGTGTGAATGAACCTGGGCCATCGATAACAACCTGCGTTTTGTGGAGCGTGCACACAGGCAAGGTCATAATCAGCTGCAATCCCTTCAAAGTGACAAAAAAAGGAAAAACTTCACAGAGGAAGCAGCTGATGGATGAAAGGATGGATAGATGAGCGCATGAGTGAAGCAGTGGCATCCGAGTCTTGACTTGTGACAGTTCCGTTGTCGCCTGACTTGGCAGGTTTGGGAGAAGGCGTGAGGGGGTGAGCAGTGGCAGACTGGGGGAGGAGAGGAAGTGAGAGATGAATTATGGATGGGTGAAGAGAGGAGGAGATGGAGTGTCTGCCGAGCTGGTTTCCTGCTGACAGTCAGGCTGCTTGTCGTTGTAGCTGCTTAGCCACACCGAGTCCAGCAGAAATGACGCGGCTTGTTAGCAGCCTGCAGCAGCAGCCCCTTTTTTCCTCAGCGGAAGGCCGCTGGGGTGGTTTTAGGCAACAGGGCTTCATGGAGGAGAGTCGAGCGACTGAGCCGCTCAGTACGCTGCCTCTGCTTTAATCTTACTCGTCTTCACATAGCCGCTCATTCCTCAACCTCCTCCACGTATGTCGAAGGAAACCAGCCGACCTAGGGAAGAAACGAGAATAAGTGATGAGATCTGAGCAAGATGAGATTTAGAATGCTAAACCTTTCATCCAACTTTAACTAACCGCAGTTAGCAGGGCAGCATGCCAGCAGGCTTATATCTATCAGGCACACAATGATGTTTTCTGTCTGTCATGTAAATAATGAACAGAAGCTGCTAAAAGGCTAATATCTCAGATGTCCATCCACTCTAGTGATATTAGCAATGCTTCCATTGACTAAGATATAGAATATTATTCTTTGATTCCAGGTGGAAGTTGCTTGTCTTCTATCTTTTAGTTTCTTGAAAGAAACCTTTTTTTAAAAAGGAGAGACTTTCATAAGTGATGCATGAGCTAAAAGACACAAACATGCTACAACCGAAACCTTTCGGAAATTTTGGAGGATTTTTGTGAAATATAAAGCCCATGTAAAGCTTTATTAAGGAGCTAATTGAAAATGATAAATGGTCCTGGTTGCTGCCACTACATCCTGCAGCCATAATGATGGTTTGTTCAGGAGGATGGGAACTGTTAGCTTCCTGCAGCATAAAACGTTTTTTTCTGAAACGTCAAAAAGTTTTATTTTCTTCTTTTCTCATCTCCCTCCACATGTTAGCAGCTTTCCTGAAGCCTTGTAGGAGGTTGAGGCCTCTTGATTGGCCTTAATCGATGCAAAACTGATCTTATCGACCTCAGCAAAACTCTGAATCCAGTCTCTGTCAATGCTATAAACCTGAGTAATATTATTTATTTATTTAAAATAAATAAAATTAGCTTTGAACACTCAAGATGTAGGGTGAATTTATAAGGCGTTATTTATAAAGAAAAAAATCAGTTAACCTTTTAAAGTTCATTGAATTGCCAGAAAACTGCACTCAATTCTTCAAAGGCCATAATTATAATGTGCTGTATGCTGATGTCTTGGTAGCAGTGTTGTGGTCAAGACCACCTAACCCGAGACCAAGACAAGACCAAGACTAGAGTGTATCTAGACTGAGACAAGACCAAGCCTTTTAGGGTCCGAGACCGAGTCAAGACCAAGACCAGCGCCAGTATGTGACAATAAAATGTGAATCATAATCAAAATCACTAAAACTTATCTAAAAGACCCACATTCACATAAAAACACCTAGATATTTAACACACAGAACTGGACTAAACATTAACATCTTTATTTAGTACTTCTGTGTAGTAATCACAGAATTTTAAACAATTAATCAAAGTCGATCAAAATTGTATTTTCTCTGCCGTTCATGAACAGTACATACATTTATGTTGTTTTAAAATCTGCTATTTCAAAACAATGTGCAAAATTCTGTAAAATGTGTAAAACTGAAAAAAAAATCCAATCATTTCTCTCGTTTCTCTTTCATATACAGATTAAAGCTATATTATATAACTTTTCTTAAATAAATCTATATCTGTCACCAAGTTGTGAAATATGTTATGAGACAGATAATTTGTTGAAAAAATAGGTTGATCTCCTCACTGCATTTACCAATGAGACAGGTTATTGCTTGGATTTGAATCCAAGCATCCAATAAAAAGAAGGATCTTAAAGAAACTGATAATAGTCTGATGATTAGTGTTAATTCCACAGTTGTAGTCTTGACCGGTCTTGAAATAAAATATCGAGTCCTCAGCGCCCGAGACCGAGACAAGACCGAGACCAAATACGGTCAAGTCCGAGAAGAGACCGAGACCACGAGTACTACAACACTGCTTGGTAGCTTTGCAGACGTGGGATATTTGTTTTATCAGATGAAAGACTTCGCCTTTTATTATGTTTAATTTACCTTCCGATTCAAACTATGGTCTTCTTTTTGTTAAAGCTCAATAAAATAAGGGCTGTTATGAGAAGACATTTAAAAAAAAACATCACGTTGTATAAATACTTTACTTTCAGCAAGATTAGGTTAATTTGAACAACATCCGCTACATGTGTTTAAAATGTGAAATATTTTCATCAACTGTTCAAAATAATCAAATATGATCGACTAAAATATTTCTGTATCCTATAGTTAATTTCATAGCATAAAAAGAGCAACTGATTACCAGCATAGACAGAAAATATCCAGTGTAACTCTGATTAAACCGGATTGTAATTTTATTGATTGCTGGTTTAGTTTAATCCCACAGAAAAGCTCCTTCGTTGAGAGATCCAGCTGTTTATTCCAGCAGGTTAAACCTGCTGTTTTTCCAGGCTTTTTAACAGGATAAACAGCTCTTTAGATTCCCTTCGCCATGGGCTTTCCACTGGAGCACCATAAACGCTTACGTTTGGCTGAGCAGAGGAATAAAACATAAACAAAAATGCCTATTTCAAGACTGGCCAGGCTGAAATGCAGCACATCAGTGGAAGTCAGCACATATTGTAGGGTTTTCTATATTCTGAACCTGAGGTCTCTCAGTAATGTCTGTGTTATTATGCTGGAGAGCCCTGTTGGCATTTATGGATTTAAGCATAAGTAACTTTGCACTGAGGAGTGAGCCATGCAGACTGAAAGGAAGTGTTTTCCTGGATCCTTGCAGAGTTAAATATTCACATCTTTTCTCAAATCAATGCAGGAAAAAGGAGTTGACCTGCTGCCGCCGACTAACTCCATTCTCCTCTGATTTCCACTCAGCGTTACTGGAAGGTCACTCACCCGGCCGTTGACCTCGCCTCGCCACCAGCCGTTGGCTCCAGACTTTGTGTAGATCTTCACCACGTCTCCCTCCTGCAGCGACAGCTCCCGGGTGTCTCGAGAGCTGAAGTCGTAGCGCGCTATGGCCAAACCAATAACTTTAGGTGTCAGCACTAGAGGGGGAAAAAAATGGATTATTTAATTCAGAAATACTTTATTGATTTTAAAGGGGAATAAAATGCTGAAATCAGAACCTTTTTTTTTTCAATGAGTTGTAGATGCAATTTAGAAGAAAACATGGACAGTTACACATCAGGTCTGAACAAACATACAGACAGCCTTATTGATGCAGACAGAGACAAGGACAAACCTACCATATAAAGTTTAAAATTCAAGTAAATAAATGAAGGGATTTCAGAAACAGGTCCTGCTACCCCTGTTGTCATATTTCTCAAATCTTGATCCAAATATTTAGAAAAATCCATCTGAATATATTTGGAGTAAAAAGGAATAATAGTTTTGCAATAGATATAATACGACAGAGAGGACTACTGCTCTTAGACACTATTTCAAATGGGAAAAACAAAAGTTTATAATGTCCATGGCTGCAAGGGATGAGCTGCTCACCTTTAATTCTAAAACTAATCGAAAAAATAAATAAATAAATAAATAAATTACAAAACTGCATATTTACACACAGCATTAAACGTAACCATTAGGTTTTCTAAATTTAATTGGTTCGCTTTGGATTAAAACAAAATAAGAATATATAAAAAAAATATTTTGGCCCACTGTAAAGTGGGGTGGAGGATCTGTGATGCTGTGGGCTTGTTCCTTTAACATGAGCTTTTTGCAGTACCAGAGCATTCTAAAAAAAATGCTTTGTACCCGATGATTAACCATAAATATATATCCTCCATGTGTTGTTTTACAAGGCTTAAAATTAATTAATTTAATTAAAATTTTTAAAGCGACATCAAATTACGATCATAAAGGATGAAAGTTTTTTGCACACCTTTTAAAAAAGAGAAAGGTGCTACATGATGGAACCAAGTTTATAGGAGATCAGTAGATCGTTATTCTTGATCATTTACAGTTAAAAAAATATGCAGAGCAGTAACTGATGTTAGAAATTATTAAACTTTCTACAGAACACTTAATATCTTCTTTTTAATAGAGGTAGACCAGCATGAGTGCCCTGACACCTGTACGTGTGGGTAAGAGATTAAATGTCTCCTGTTGAGGAGAAAGTAGCTGGAGAGACAGATGTGGAGCAGGTGGAGCTAGTTACCAGGGCTCCAGCCCGCCCTGCCGCCTTTCCTCCTGTCCAGACCGCCTGCTCGGCCTGGGCTGACAGGTTGAAATGGAATGTCAGACCTCTAGAACCTGGCCGTGGGGATAAAATATCTAATATAGAGGAGCTCTGTGTACACTTCCACCCTTTCCTTGACGGACAGACCCAGAGGCACACACATACACACATCAGACACAGCTATATAAAAAAAAAGCCTCACATGCCATTTCCTTTTCCCAACAGCAATATAACGTGCAAAAAAAACAAAAACACATGGATTTCCAAACCCCACATCCTATGCATGCAGACGTCCAAACAACAGAACATGTTCTCCATGTAGGATGGCCAGTGTGCACACATAACTATGTAAGAGTCGACACGGTGCAAGATTCGTGCAATGATGTGAAGGCGCCGAGCTGCAGGCAGCATGCTAAGTAGCCTTCAGCATTAAGAGGAACGGGAGACGAAGTGAAGCTGTACCTGTACCTGACCAGAAGGGAGCAGAGGAAGGAGGCATAAAGCTGTAGCCGGCAGGAGTTACGAGAGAGAGGCCGCAGAGCAATGGAGCTATGGCAGGGCGGGGCCAGGCAGTGGGAGGGAAGGGTCGCAGAGATGCAGGGGGGGAGAAACAGAAGCAAAGAAGAAAAAATGAAAAATAACATGTTTTTTTTCTAAATAAATTTTCAAACCTCAGGGTTTTTTTTATTTATTTCAAATCCATGTCTTAAGGATTGGTTTTAATGTTATTTTAAGATGTTTGCTTCTCCAATTATCAGGATTTTTAATCTGTTATATAACATCTTCAAACTGTAAGAAACTATTTAAGTTACACCAGAAAATAGCTTTCTACATTGGAGCCCAAACGCAGCGATCCTGCTCAGTGTGAGGCATGGAGGGAAACAAAGTGCAGGTAATTCACCTCCCGTATACACAGATCCAGAACATTTAGACTGCAGGGGGAACATAAAGTTTAAAGGCCGTTCCCTGCAGAGCTTTTGTTGCTGCAATGCGTTCAGCTTTTATAACTGATTTACTGTATAGATCCTGACAATCTGAGGGTCCATAAATGCTTCTGAAATAACAAGACATTTCACATATAACTCTGTCCTCTTTTACTGGACTGACTTTACTGAAATTATAAGAAAATCTTGATACTTTTAACTGAAATATAACACATTTTTGTACTGATGAAGGTTCTCAGTCATCCAGGTCATAGTCATTCCGTAAAAATTCAAAAAATATCCACTGGAAAACCAAGTCCAGTGGATATTTTTTGAATTTTTACGGAAAAACGTATTTTTGTAAAAAAATAAATAAAAAACTTTCATGTTTTCAAAACTATCTTTTAATTTTTTCACAGCAGGATTTCCTGTAGGTTGTGTACATTTGATTTTAGACTTTCAAGGCATTTATGATTGGAGTTAAGGTCCTAAAAGATCAATTAAAAGCAATTTTATTTCATACTTTTATGAAATTTCTTAGCTAAGAACTAAGTAAACAATTAATAAAATTGTTATAGTACATAGCTTATCTAGCTAAGGACTTAAATTACGAATACACAATAACTTCAGAAAGTTTTATATAAATATACAGAGAGTATTATAACAAGAATTTAAACAAACATGTAGTCATGAGCAGAATTCCTTATTGTTCTGCTGCCTCCTGGGGTTTGTAGTTTTGTAACAACATGCTTAGAGCTAATTTCTTCCTACAATTACAAACAATCAAAACATTTCTAAATAAATAAACAAACCATACTATGACTGCAATTATCAATTATTCTGCAAATCAACTAATCCTTTTATTATTATTGCAGTTCGTTGTTAAATAACTGTACAGTAAAATATGCTTTCTGGAAGATTATTCATATAATTTGAACCAAGGGAAGCTAAAGCTATGCTGCTACAGGAGTTCTGGGAGGAAAATAAAATGACAAAAAGGCTAAACGTCTGTATAGTTAATACAGTTTTTAAATAAATTATTCTGTAATATTTTTGCGGTTTAGAGTCTTTAGACACCACATAATCATCAATTAATTGATGATGATGATGATGGTTTAAATAATTGACTAATGTGATTAACTGTTTTTAGATCTGAGCCAAACAACAGAAACTACTGGTAATGTTCACATTTAAGATTTAACAGAACATTACTAACATTATACATTTGGAGATATTTACATTTTTAGGTCCTAAAATCTGGATTGATAAATGAAAAAAAGAAGAATACATTAGATATATGTCATTTACTAGGGAGGACAAGTCGGGGACAGTGTTTTCTCATGGGGCACATAGTAAATGCAAACACACAGAAAACAGCTGAAGAGCGAATATTTTTGCTATTCAAAGTGAGCCACAAAGCCAAGGTTGTATATATCTGATCTAACAGAAACAAACTGTGATCCTATCTTAATATGGCTGGAGCTTAAAGCTACGGGTAAGTATATAATGATACGATAAATTGTAAAGACAAAAGTATCTCTTGCAAAAACATCCCTTCTGTCAGCGCAAATCATCACAAGATATTGATTTATTATTACACTGCGATCTCAATAAGTAAGAATAAGTAAGAATATCTCAAAATAAGTACATTTACCTAATATGACCTGCAAAGGAATGAGTGTTTTTGACTTTATGATAAGATAATTAGTTATAATGCATTTGAAATAGGACAATAGATATGTTTTCTTATTTGAATTTATTCTTGGAAATTTCTCTTAATTAATCGTTAATTTTCCGTCTACTCAGGTCTAGAGGGAAAATGCACTTATTAAAAGAATGAATTATTTAGACTTAATTTTTTGCTGTTTATGTTTTCCATACAGGCCACTTCACTACTTTTTAGAACCTTGCATGCATTAAACCCTGAGCGTTACCAGAAAGGAGCTAACAGGGACCAGTTCCTCTGTAGAACTGCTTCTGTATGCTCCTGTACTTTAAACATAAAACCAAATCAATTTCTTATCATAATATGCGCTGACCGAGGAGAGCGTAGAGTGCAAAGTTTACTTGAACAATTATTAAGAAATCAAGGTTTGTCACTCTAAGCTTCTGTTGAATCAAGATATGATCCGTTTTATCATCTAGATCAAGGGTCTGCATATTTGACTCACTTAATATGGTAAATGATTCCCTATTTTTGTGTTACTCTTTTGCTTTCCCCCAAGGAAAAAATGCTTAATTTGGTTTAAAACCGCCACTTCGTCAAATTATTAAGGCATTTAACCTGCAGATAATCCCATTTGGGAAACTTGTCTCTGTGTTTGAGATCAACTCTACCCAAAGCAGTGTGTATTAGCCATGTAAAACTGAAACTCCCACAGCGGCAGATAAATGCTCCAACTTTGTGAAAAATGTTCTGCTTTGAACAATCCAATTGGCGAGTAAACTGGTCCAAGTTATTGATATGCTGTAAGGAGAGCAGGGCTCTAGTGGTTTTTAAAATGAATTCTAATCAGGGCGCTTAGAGACAGCTCAGTAAGCCCTGATGGTTTCAGGGAACGAGCAATATGAAGAGGGATCGCACAGCCGCCGAGACGCCAGCTGAATTTCACATGCTTTATTTTTGAACAATCTGATTTGTGTGATTGCTGCGATTCAGCACACACACACACCCACGCCAATGCCGCCCAAACACACACAGTTAGAGCATCATTTTGTGAGAGACTGAAGAAGAGTGTAAAAATCTAATCAGGAGCCAATAGTCCCCACTCAGACTGTGAGCTGAAACAGCTCCACGGCTCCATGTTTGTTTATGTTCCCAGTTAACACTGGTGGTATCGCGTTATCAATCAGCTGTCCCTCTCCGAAAGCTGTCCGAAGGAGAAAGTGTTAATTAGGAGCTTTCCAGCAGTGCTCAGGGAATGACTGCGATAATAAACAGAAGTCATTTAAATGTGGAAGAGAGGAAATGAATTCTGCACTCCAGGAGCGGGCTGCCATGTAAGATGGAGGGACTTACAGCAGAACAAAACAAATTTGGACCGGAGCTGCCTAGACTTGCACTTTGAAGCCAAGCCTGGACTAAAGAAACCCAACAGCCTCGTGCAATCTGTTCACATTTCTGACACGATCGGCCACGAGCACAGCGGCGCGCAGGCTTTAGATGAAACCTTATTTTCCACTCATTGAGATGTCAGAGTTTTCATTCCCCACTGATGGCCAGCTCACATATGCTCTGGTGGCATTTTTCAGCCTGTGCGAGGTGAATATGGAAGCATTAGGCTCTGATAAGGCAAGCTGCCCTCCGTTGTTCACTCACCTGGTTACATAAAGTTAAATCTATTGATATGGAAAACATGCCTAAATCATCATTATTTCTGATTATATATATACTTGTTTAGTCTATAATCCTTCCTGAGATCAAAGTCCAAGAAGGTCTTTGCTTGCAAACGTGATCTCATTAAAGAGTTGCCTTCAGGTTCAGACAAATTTTCACATCAGAACTGGTGTCTCCTTTCATTCATCATTGACAAATAAAAGGGTGAATCTCAGGGAATTCAGGTTAGCAACAGTAATGAAAGAGTTGCAGGGTTACGGAGGCTGGATGAATAAATAATCTACAATGTTTGGGTACAGTTTGAAGCATCTGGAGTGATGGCGTCATTCAGAGGTGCTGCTGGGTTTTGTTCACCAAAGAATAAAGAGTTTATTCCTATGAAGGTGGAAAAGAAAGGAAATCCATCTCCTTAAATCAACAGCTCAGCATCTGACAGACAGAACATAACAACCCTCGCTCATGCTGACGGGAACGCTGAGGGTAAAGACTTGAAAAATCCTTTGGTTCATCAACTTTACAACCACAACTTTATACAGAACCATGGGAACTGATTCAGATTATTCGATTACAACATTTAAAAACTATAATACAACAGACCAAAACAACAAACAGCTTGAAGGATTTAGCACTGTTTTGAATGGAACTACATGAAAAATGGGAAAACTTGGCACCAGCTTTGGTCAGATTCCCTTAAAAAAAAAAAAAAAAGTGACCCCCTCTTGCATATTTTTTAAGTCTGACTCCACCCTTTCTTAATTTCAGAGTCTGACCGGAAGATCTTCTCTTAAGATCTTCATGTCTAAAAATCATGACAGAAAGATTTTTTTAGTACAAAGATTGATTTTTAAAAAGGAATTAAGCCTGGCGTACACTGTACAATTTATTCAATCATTGCACGCAGCTACAGCTCACACTGTACGATGAAACCGCAGGGTTTAAAAGTTCACAGCTCATGATGTATGTTCTCACACTGTGCAACCCGACTATCTAATGGAATCTGGCTGCTTATACGCATGCTTCTGTGTTTTCGTCTGAGAGGAAGAAGAAGAATCCTTGTTAGTACATTCACACAGAGCGATCTGAAAAGGATGGCCGACTGAATTTCAAAAACACATTTGCTGATCAGGAGGTGGTCGTGAGTTGCTGATTACCTCCTGTACACTATACGACGCATGATCAGGCTGAAGTCGGCCCGATTGAAAAATTCTCGCACGACTGGAAAATTGTCCCGAAAAGGGCAAAATAATTGTACAGTGCATGGCCGGCTTTAAAGGGGACCAGCCAAGAACCCATCAAGGAAAGTGGGAAAATTTTGAAACAAAAACAAAATAGTGTTTTTTGAGTTTTGCCTCAATTTGTTTTCTACATTAACATCGGAAAACCAAACGAAGGATACGCCTGTGATCACATTTATTTACATATTTAGTGTAACTGCATCTCATGTCCACAGAATCAGTTTTTTTCATATTTGTTCTATTGCAGTTTAAGGGGCAGTCTTCCAGGAGCAGCTGTTATGTTGGCATAAATTAACCCATTTATCTTTTTTCTTCACCTTATATAAAGGAGTCTGGTCAGATCAAAGAGCAGATATGTGTGATGGGACTCTAGATGATAGAGCCTTTGGTCATGATATTAACCTTATCTGTCACCAACTGTAACCAGAACAGCTTGTTAACAAACTGTCCTTAAAGTAACAGTAGCTGAGTTTCCATTACAGATTTTATATTCGGTTAAATTCGAAACTGCAGTGTTTTGCAATTGTGATATTCAGCAAAATAATAACCACAACTAAAATGAGTCGGAAAACAACATGGCAGCAGCTGATTTGAACACATAAGATAGATCCATACTGCAACCACAGCTACTCCAACTACTTCTGATCTTCTTCTTTGTCTTTCTACAAGGAAGTAAGATCCAGTTGTAGATACTGTGACTTTTGTGATGCAAAAAAAGGGGTTTCCATTGAAGTTTTGCAAAGTATAAGAATTTCGATAGGGCCAAAAAAAACCTCATACAGGTGTGTTTTTTTTATTGTAGTGTTTCCATTTAGTCAATTTATTTTTGCATTCACTATTTGAGCAATTTAATGCTTAATGGAGATAAATATATATGGATTGATAACTACATTTAGTCCAATGACAGTGTCTAAAATTGGACAATGCATCTTTGGAAATGTATCACTGTCGAATTTTTAAGGATACTAGCCATGAGAGGGTGGGGCAAGAAATGCCTGTACCCTGATAATTAGGGAATTAGGAAAACCTTTGCCACAGTGCTGTAATGTAATCGGTCTACAAGTGCGGCTTTTGAAGGAGACAACCCCTGAAATTCAAACACACACAAGGTCTACTTGCAAAAAGTACAATTTGACAACAAACCAGACCAAACAACAAAATTGAATCCATATGTGACCGAAGCAACAAGACAAGCAGACCAGAGGACTTAGATGGGACAGCGTTTATTCACGTAATCCACAAACCTGGACTTTATGTAGAGTGGAAAAGCCGAGATTGAATAACGGCTAAGAAAAGGGCGGTTTAAAGTTTATCGAAAGGTACTACGGGATGCAGTGAAACGTGTTATAATCAGATGAGACAAAAAGTGCAAAACACTATGCACATAAATCCGACTGTGAAACACGGTGGTGGCAGCATCAGCCAATGGGAGTGTTTGTTATAAACAAGCAAGTTAAACTGGTCAGAACTGATTGACAGTAGAAGGAGCTAAATATATATAGTAGGAGAACCAGGAAAACCACCTAGTCTTAAATGAACATTCATGTTCTGAACGTTCTCAATGCAATAAAGGAATAAACTACATCAGACTAAATTACATGAAAGCTTGAAGCTATATCAAGGGGTTTACTTGCTCCTGCCAAAAACATTAAAAGGTTTTGACTTACTTTCAAACTTAAGCTAAACAATATAATAGATTTAAACAGTTGCATATATCAAATGACATCATTTGGATGAGATATTAACACTTCAAGTCGAGTTATGAATGTTAATTCATTGAAATGATCTGTCCTCCATGAAGCTCTAATTGATTTGATCTTCACTAATCAGCCAGGGAGTGTTATCAAATCTAATACCATGCTTAGGGAATTCTCCAACCGCTGCCTGACAGCGAGTCAAAACCCATTAACATCACAGGAGGCTGAAATGCTGGTAACAGTGACTCATTGTGCACCTCTTTAGAAGCAGCCAAGATGTTCCCGTCTGAATTAAAGCAGCGTTCAAGAGACAGCGCTATCTGCAGGTAACCTGTCACTTGGTTAAATGTTTTAGATTCTTCTTAATGCTTTTTCCTTTTAATCTCCAAGCTTTGGCACAAGGTGATTAAAGGTGTAGTTGGTATTTTATCTGCCTCACAAACGATACACAGAGCTAAACATACCTGTTTATTCTGGTTGTGTTGTAGATGTAGATTTAAAATAAGATCAAATTAAAGCAAAATCAGGAAATAATAAAAGCCCTTTTTTTTAATATATCATTTTAACCTGTTAACTGGCCAGTTACACTCAACTAGAAAAGGCAAAAAAATTATTGTTTTAAAATAATTATCTTTTAGGGATTTTTTACAACAGAAAAAGCAGCAATTGTTCCCTCAGTTGCTTTAGCATATGCATTGGTAGAAAAAATATTCTCAAAAAAACTGCAGGTTTTATTGATTCTGTATCATTGTCTATAAAAAGACTATTTAAAATGTAAAAAAAAAAAAGTTATTTATTCCATCTGAGAGTTTAAAAAATGAGGTTTCAATACCATAAAAAAGCTGTTGTATTAGAGATTACATACTGAAACTTGTACTCACTGTTGCTGCCTGGCCGGCTGAAGCGGTGCACAGCGGCGTTCTCCGGTTCCCGGTAGGGGAACTGCAGGGTGGTATCCAGGCTCTTAAAGCCTTCCCTCAAAGAGTGGTGTTTGTAGTACTCAATCAGCTCCTTTATACAGAAGACAAACATAGTCTCATTAAAACCAACAATGGAGTCAGTTGGAATAAGAACTTTTATGGCATCTAGTAGAAAATCTGAGGTAAGAAAATCATCCACCATAAACAGTGTGTTGGCATTACACTGGATGATTGAGAAGTTTTGCAGGTCAGTATACATATATTTAACCAGAGCTTTCTTTGTTCACATGGTTAAAATTAAACATTGTTGACACTTCATTACATGAACATTATGGTTAAGTTATTAATAAAAAAAGCAGAAACAAGAAAGAAAGAAACTCACTAATATGCTCCTAAATTTCTTGTTCTCTGCAATGTAGTAGCAGCCCTCCTTGGTCAGGATCTTTATGTGCTTCACGTCGTTGTTGTACCTGTGGGCCATTGAATAAGTTATGAGTGTAATTTCCCTCTCTGATCACCACCATCGATCCGCGGCCGGCCTCTGGCCCTCGCACGGAGCTCGGGCCATTCCTCTAAAGCACGGGGTCCTGGAGGTTTGTGACACCATGAGAATGATGGTGGTGGGGGAGCCAAGGTGCACGCGAGGGTGAAAATGCTTTTCAGAGTTTTGTGTTTGGGTTTGCATTAACATTATAGCTGATTGGGGGTTGGGTCAAATTTTATAGACGAGAGTGCATATAAAGGACATCTGTCTTTTACAGTGTTGCTTTGTAAGCAACACAACATGCTGATTTTGTTCACCATTTTTGTTCAGACAAATCCTGCTGATTTAGTTGAGGAGGACAGTATTAGAGCTGGGCCACCATCGACTGTACTATGTGATATATTCCACAGAGGTTTTGATCGTGCAGAAGCATGGATTAGGCTGAAATCTTGTGGAGACTCTCATCGACTCTTACGAGGTCTCAAAAGAAACAAGATTGAGTTCTTCCCAACTAAAAAGGCTGCACAAAAGTGCTGTGATAGCAGCAAAAATATCATTAAAGTTCCACCAGAAACATGCTGCTGCATTACTACTGTTTCCTCGACATCCAACAGACAACTATCTATACACATGTCACCACAAAAGAGCTTCAAGATTAAACACTATTCCAGTCTTTAAAAGGTTTAAGCTTAACAGTGACCAGGGAACAATTCACATCCCTAAACTTTGTTACAATCTATTACGTTAGAAACATAAACCTCCTTTTATCTGACAATACAAAGTACAGAATAATTGTGACTTTAATAAAAAAGCATGTGTGGTAAACGGTACATGTAACTGTAGAGTTAGAGCAGCTCCTAAATAATGAAAATGTAACATTTAACCTTTACATCCATCAATCCATCCATTTTCTGACATTTTATCTCCATTTTACCTTTACATTATATATGTTAAAACATATAAGTGTATTTTGGTTTTTAGGTTATAAAGAAATACACATGATCTGCCTTTTTATGTCTCCATTTGTATTTGATTTGTTTGATTTGTTTGGCTCTAGTTTTCTGTCACCTCATCCAAAACAATGAGTTTAACCTTAGTTATTTCTAAATTAATGCTGCTTTATGATTAGGGTGCTTGAGGACATAGCGATCCCTTTTCATTCTTCTTCTTCATTCTATCACTGTTCTCCCATTTTGCAGTATTTGTTAAGTCCACTCCTAAATGTATGCTCTCCCTGCTTTTTCTCATGATCTGCTCTGTTCTTTTATGGCTGTGGCGCCATCCTGGAGAGAAATATCAGCTGTGCTGCTGCCATCAACACCTTTGTTTATGTTGGAGCTTGGTCTGTTTTTCAGTGTAGTCCTGTTTCTCTGACTGTGACTAACTGAATGTGTTCTCTTTAATCCTCTGACTGGGAGCTCGCCCGGAGCTCATCTTCCTGACTGTTTCTTTTCTGGGTCAGACCACCTGTAGAGCTGGTTAACAGTTGCCTTTTTTATCTCTGTTTCTGTATGTCTGCTTCTGTCTCCTTGAGCCCCAGTCGGCCTCGGCAAATGGCCGCTCACACTGAGCCTGGTTCTGCTGGAGCTTTCCTCCAGTTAAAAGGCAGTTTTCCTCTCCACTGTCGCTACATGCACGCTTGGTGTGAGGGATTGCTTAAGAGTTAATAACAAAATGCAAGCGACATTGTCGCCACAAACTCATCCAGGAGGACCATGTCTTGCAAATCAACACCTCGATGCAATCATCTTTATAGAAAATGTATGATCTGATTGAATGTCTCTATAAAGTGCCTTGAGATAACATGAGTTGGTGCTATATTAAAAAAATGAATTGATTTTAGGTGCTTTATTTAACCACCACTTGTATTGAAGGCAGTTGCATCTTTTTAATTACATTTTACATGCTGGGTAGAGTAATCTTGATAAGCTCTTCAAAAATATGACTAAATATGTAATTAAAACTTCACCAGATGTACGAAATGAAAATAAATAGTAGAAATCAGCTTAACAGGGATATTCCTAAGAACCAGGAACAAATAAAAATGCACTAAAAGAAGAAAACTTGTTATGCACAGTATAAAGCTCTAAAGATCAGACTGCTAAGACTTGAACATCAATGTGCTTTTTATAAAAAACAAAAACAAACAAAAGCTGTTTATGTGGCTCTGATCATGAATGGTAATGATAACATTCAACCCAGGAGAGGCCGCTGTCCAAATGTGGTTAACCATAGTCTTCACCTCGGGATGGGCACATCGCCCTTCCCAACAAGGTACAAATTAGTCTGTCAAGTTCTGTAGTGGAGGCTGAAGCTACATCTGGTCAATACTGTGGTTTGGCTAACCAATAACAACGCATCCATGGAGACACAGGAAAACCGCCATGTAACAGTGAGTACAAGAAAAAGAGACACTAATAATCTTGGCCTGTGTAAAGACAGCTTGGCTGTACGCTTGGCTAAACTAAACCCAACATCTGCAGCGTACCAGTTCACCCAGTGAAAAGCAATGTATGAGAAAATGGCATCTCACAGAAATCTATTAGTTTTAAATACAGTAAAGCCCGATGTATTGTTTCAGACTTACTTTATGCTGATGGCGTACTCTGTGAACTCCTTGCTGCGATGGCGGACCAAATAGGTGCTGTTGACCCTGTTGATGAGTTCTGCTTCAGCCTGAAATCTCTCCATTGGACCAGCAAACCTATGACGGTAAAAGAGAAAGAAGATTCCGTCATTCATGCAAAGAAAAATAACATTCTTTACCTTTTTCTAAGGTAACAGTGGGAACATGTAGTGTAGGTCATTGACGATTTCGACCTTGAGGGTCCTTTATAGTTAGCATCAGCTGTGCACAATTCTTTTTTAAGCAAAAATAGCTCAGTCAGAGGGAATTGGGTGTGTCTATGTACGTAGAGCAGATCTCAATTCAAGCCACATATTCTCTGTTACAGTTTGGACTTTGACTGGGTCGTTCTAACACATGATGCTTTGATTCAAACCATTGTAGCTCCAGCCTTAAGACTCAACTTGGAGAAGGGTCAGTCGTTGCTAAAGAAAAGCCTTTCCATATCATGATGCTGTAACTTCAACTAATCGAAAAAAGGATGCTGTGCTAAGTTTTAGGCCAAGTATAATTGTGTTAGACCATTTTAATACTAGAGAACCTTCAGTCACATCTTTGTGGTCTCTCCTGTCCTCTACATGGCGTTTGGCCAAACTGAAAACAGAGTTCATTCTAAAGTCTCTTTCTTGTTTCCACTTTTGCGTACAGATCAGCCCTTTGGAGCACACAACTAGAGGCTGTCAGATTGCTCCAAATGAGCTGTGGATCTCTGCAGTTTCTACAGAGATTCTAGGGGTCCTCTTGGCTGTTTCTCTGATCAATGTTTACTTGTCAGTTTAGCTGGACAGCAAGGTCTTGTTGAGTTGTACTGTAGAAGGTAATGGTGCTTTCTTTACACGTCACTAGAGCCTAGATACTGACTGGGCTATGCTGTTTCTGAAGCAAACTGCCGGGATTTTGTTAAGGGGCATCAGTTTTAAATAAAGAATTGAAGTAAATAGTAATGCATGCCACACTTTTTATATTTTTATTTAACAGATAAAAAAATGGTATGTTATTGAAAAAAAAATATTTTAAAACATGTCAAAGGTATAGTGGAAGATGCTGTTTTTGTGAGTGGACCATCAGAATAAGTGGTCCTCCTAATACTCAGTCATTCTGGAATATGTTTGCGTAAGGCTGCCCTCGTCTTCATTTTCATTTACCAACGGCGAGTCTGACATAGTGGAACAATAGCAAATCTTCTTTTGAAATGTAAGCTTGTATGAGTGCTGCAAACAGCAACAACAGAGTACGCATGAGGAGAAATGGGCTTTTGCATGCACTCACATGCGTTTATTAGTGGTTCCCACTCAGGAGCGGGTGCAGGGTTTTGCATGAGTTTTTTTTTTTTTTTTTTTTAAGTGAAGAGGTCTTTTCAAAAAATTCCCAAAACCCTTCACTATATCTTTAAGGTTAGTTGCTGTAACCTGACATAATGTCAAAATTGACCGACTTCAGCAAGGTATTGCATATTGTATCTGCAAACAAAATGAGGTAAAACAGCAAAATGAAAGTAAAATAAAATAAGTTCATGAGCTAAAATAAGTCCAAATTCAATGTTCAAGACCATTAGGTATGAATAGAGACTGCTTTATTTCTCTAATGACTCCAAAGGATAGAAACAATCTGAACTCACCACAGCTGTGAGGAGTAATCAACGGGCTTTGGCACCTGCAGGGAGGAAGAAAAAAAATCAATGCATGAGTCTGTTATTTACCTGAGGCAGTCAAAGGACGCGCGTCATTCTGGTCCCATAAAATGATACGCCAAATCTGCTGGTCTGTTTTAAAGTTCATATTAGGATGTTACACAAGTAAAACCGCTTAGTGCTCCTACAGATACGGCGATATGACTTTAGCATCTGGAGTGAATTACGTATTTCTGAAGCAGTCTAGGTAACTGTCTATTTGTGGCATAAACAAAGCAGCCATAAAAATGAAGGAAAAACTTTAAATCCGATAAAATGGTGTCTTAGAAGTTATATGTATAAAACCCATTTCATATATATTCTCTTGTTTTTGAAGAAATGAAGACATACTAATATCTAATCTTACTTTTTTTTATCTTTGGGAAAAGAAATTGATTTAATTGTTGCTACTGTTCAATAATTAACTAGGCTTTGCTTGTTAAAGAAATATCTTCTACAAAAGCTGAACTAGTTTGTGGTTATAAAGGCATGCACTGCCATAACAACAGTAGCAAGAGTCTGGTGTAGGCCCCATGATGGCATTTAAGGGATTTATGGAGACTCTCTCTGGCATCTTGCAAGTCTTCCCTCATAATAAACACTATTTGAGTTAGACCTGCCCATGATGGAAGTTCTTTTCAATATTTTCCCTTTGTAAAGCAATCCCTCCACAATGGAACATCTGTTAACAAATTAATCACTCCAATTATAAGCGTCTGCAATCATCTTTGTGAAGCTGAGAAAGCTCTTTATTTCTCCTTCTAGTTCTAGGTTTCACATTGACCTAAAGGAAAAACCTCATTTAAAATCCCGAGAAACAATGTTCATATCTTGGAGTACAACCAAGTGTGATTTTAGTCGGAATAAACATGAGGGGTGTTATAATTGAATAAAAAAAATGGGTAACTAAATTGTGCGCTAAAATGTGGTCCTGCTGGCAGAGCTGGAAATAAAAGCTGCTTACACACGGACACGGCCGCACGGCATCACTTGGAAAGAAGCCAGTCTCTTTCGTCGACAGGTTCCGGCCCTGAAACCACACAGAGATAATTGTGTTACATAGATCTGGCTCTGGAGTTTCTCCACAGTTCCAGAACAATTGGGCCGCAGCGCTAATATACAGCAGCAGGTAGCTGGCAGGAAGAGCAGAGGAGGACAAGTTGTCCCTTGGTGATGACAGTAGAAGTTCAGCACCATGATTTATGCACAATGTAGAGGGAAGAACCTTGTAGAAACAAGTTATATATAGAAACCAGCTCCCTCTGACAGACATGGACACTATGTTTTATTTTCCTCTGTTACCTGAAAAATATTTACACCTACTGCAAATTACAGGCCTTGTCAGAAGTTTAATTCAGTCAAAAATAGCCTTTTTAATTATTTTTGGAAGAAAGGCAGTAGCCTAATGGATAAATATGACTGAATTCATAGAGGCTTTTCTTTCATCAAAACAGTCAACATTTTATATATAAAGGCACAGACATACTGTATGGCTTCCACATATATGAATATAAAACGATCTATCTTTACTAAATAGATTTAAATAGAATATCCTGCATTGGTCTTTATTTCCAAACAATCCTTGCACCTGCAAAGATCAGTACTGGACCTCTGACCTGAAGCTGTTCATGCACGCTAATGAATAAAACCAACACGTAGAGGTGAATTCCTGTCAGTGGTTCAGGAATGTTAATGCCTTTTATTCTGTCCTTTTAGACACAAGTATGTGATCTTTGTCCTTTGCTTGTATTCATTTTGAAAACATCAGGCTTCTTTGAATAAGAAAGGGAGCTTTATTGTATTTCTCATTTACTTTAAAGCGATAAGCATGCTGGCAGCTGGAGCAGCAGGTCGTATATATCAGCTGCCTGGTGACAGTTAGCTGGTTTCAGACCCCGTTCCCCAACTGAATAAAAACATATTTAGGTTAAAATAGTCTGCCCAAGGCAGCTTATATTATGTTCTCCAGGAGCATTTTTTTTTTGCATTGCAGTAACATGCATGCTCTGAAAGGCACACTGCCAGCCAAGCCTATTTGTTAGCTCTCCTTTTCCATTTGTGCAACCTCAGGACATCTTATCAGCCCTGCGTGAAACGCTGCTATCTCCTGCATGCTGGCTGGAAGTCTCAGAAGGATTTCAGTCAGCAGGACTGTCAAAATAAACTGATAATTGCTGCTGAATGAAATAAAATTACAGTCAACAAACAAAGTCATCTTTTGCTAAATATATTGAGTTTTGTCTAGAATTCACAATATGATGCAATCCTAACCCATGTGAAAAAGCAACATTTCCAGCCTCACTCGCACCTGTTCATGGACCAGCGGCTGCTAGACAATTCCTAGGAAGGGGCTTATATTCGCCATTTTAGTTTTTCTTCCCGCAACTGTAAATGTGTGCAATAAACAAACCTTTCTAGCGTCTGGGAATCCCACTTCATGCCGAGAAGAGCCCTGTGGTGTGTTTAATTGTCTGCTGGGGCAACAACTGTGCCTTTGAATGTCATTGTTATTTTGCAGCTTGTTAGCAAAAAGTGTCAAAATGCACCGAGTCTCGTCAGCGAGAGGAAGTTAGGGGTTTCATTTAGAGAATTCATCTTACATTTTATTCCAGTCCACACAAACATGCCTTTACAGCTTGGTTATATAATGTAAAATACTGACAATTAAATTCATGTTTTCAACACTCGTACACACTGCGTAATAGCCAATTTGTTTCCAGCTATGTGGGAATGAAGGTTCCATGGTGTAAATTAGTTTTTTAAAGGGTATAAATAAATTTATCAGCCTTTTAAAACGAGCGATCGAGAAGTAAGCTGAACATCTGACCTGCCACCAGGGGCTGTGTGGATCGGCGCATAATAATTCGATGGTGTCTCCGTGCTTGATGGTGAGTGCCAGGCCAGAAGCAGGACTCGGCACGCCAAAGTAGTTCCTGATCACCATCATCTTGGGCAGTCCTGTGAAAAGACCAGAATTAGTCACTGGGAGGGACTGTCATTTAGGAGGAGAAGCAGAGTAAATGGGATCTCATTGAAAAAGTTTGATCAATGTAGATGGGAGCAGGATTAGGGAAGAAAATTGGCTCTTTGAATTATAATATTTAAATGATACTTAAAAGACCATTTAGGATCATTTGAATTTATAGCTGAAAAGGTTTTTGAGAGAAAAAAGATAGCTATGTGTGTCTTTGAATGGATGTTTTTCATGCTAAAGCTGCTGTTGCATTGTTCCTGACTTTTCCACACATACCAGCATATGGAGAATCCATATTAAATGGGTTTAAGCCTGAAGAAATCAGGCCTATCATGTTTGTTTGTCAACTAATCGCCTGACAAGCTGGTACCAGAAGTTTAGTGGACGTCATAAACCTTAAAGAGGTCAAATAATTATCAGTTAAATAACAATAGGGCCCCATTTTTTTAAAGGACTGTTCAAGCATTATGCATGCCGAGGTGACAGAATCTTGGCATAAGATTAATAAAGGCAATTATAAGTCCAAAAATTGAGCCGTCTACATCTAGAAACATGTGACCAAAGCAAATTAGATCCTGACATCTTTAGTTGACATAATTATAAGGTCAAGTGACAATGTTTGAAACAATGGACCAAAAGGAAAGGTCAGTGACTCACGTTAGCACCGTCAGTGGGCGGAGACTATGTGTTTGTTCTCAGTATAACATTAATCAAACCTATGCTCAATACATAATCACTTTTAAAAGTTTAATACAGAATCCCTTTTAAAAGAAAAAATTAGATTACAAATACGTCATACTAAAAATAAAAACAAATTTGAATTAACCAATAATTTTGCTATTTTCTATATTGTTTGTTATTATTTGGCTACAACTCCATATATATGTTATATGAATCAGATACCAGCAATATAGAATAAGATTATTATCATTTCTGCATTAATTTGTTATAATTTGTTATTGTTTCCAAATAGTAACATCATCCATACCAGTAATAGTACTTGGATAGAGTCATTATCAAATCTTTCTGCCTCTCCCTTTGAAATGGGCAACCTGTTTTTTATTGTCTTTTTGTCCATTGTACTGTGCTATTTAAAACAAGCTCATGTTAAGTACTGTGGCAGAATTATTAGGATATGTTAAACTCTTTATTGTTTCCAGGATATATATAAATAAGGGTAAAAAACACAGAAAATGTACATAAACATCTGCTGGCGTTAAAAGTCGTCTGGTTGTGATATGGAACGGGTTACAATAGTGCATGACTGGCCATCCAGCTGTCAGATAAAATATGAGCAGTAGTGAGCTCTGCTTTCTGGTTCACTACTGAGTCATTGCAGTGTCATCTGACAGAAGCTCTAACAATTACTCATTTTCACTTTAATAGATTTGATTTATTTTGTTATTCATTTTACTTGATAAAAACAGGTGACCAGAAATGCATTTCCTCATACTTTAGTTTCAAAGATTTTAAACACTTAAGGACATTTTCTTTACCTGGAATAACATCAGTCCTCTCCATTTCATTTTAAGCAATGTCTTAATTTAAATACAGTGGGCGCTGGTTGGAAATGGACACTTCACTCACGCTCCGCGTGTTTCACGTATTGTGTGAAAAACATGTGACTACTATAGCCACTAGGTGGCAGTCTGACTCCATTTCGGCGTCCCATGAGTCAGAATTACATAGGTCGAGTAGCAGACTGGAAGCGGTGTCACGGGTTGCGAGTTTATAGCGCAGAGGTTAAGCTGAGTGGTCTTTGGTTCAATAGACTGTGGGTTCAATCCCAGCTGTGGCCGAGTTGCCTTAAATGTTTTTGTTTTTTTTTTATTATAATTATTATCGCTTTTTTATAAAGTAATGAATGTTAGAATGTAAAGTAATGAAACCAGGTTTTCTATTTTTGAAACAACAATTGGAGTTATTCGTTGGACATTCACGCATGAGCCTGTATAAAAAGAGGAGCTGACCAGCTCCTTTAGTCAGAGACACCGTGTCTGTACGTTTGTGGGCCTGCAGTCAACTGAAAAGCAGGTTTATTGGGGATCTTGGTGTGATATTGTTCTATTTTATTTTGTTTTTGATTAAAATAAAGTTAATGAATTAATTTAACATTGGGACTGCATAATCTTATTTCATGAAAATATTTATAGATAGATTGATAGTAGTTATAGATACACCTCCGATCTTATCTGAGAACTGTTATTTCTATTTATCTGCATCGCTATTATTTAATGAAAAATAAAATTAATTAAGTTGGAGCCGGGGATACAGACTGTAGCGCAACCAGAGAAAGGCGACAGAGACAGTGCTGCGGCTGGTGATGTTGAAATTAAAATCATATCCAAAGTTGATTCCTCATTAAGATAAGCCAAAGTTATTCAAAAGGGTATGTAAGAAAATATATTTTCTTTAGTTTTGTAAAATATAAGTGCAGTTGAAAGCTTTGTTTTTGTGTGTTACTTTCTTGCCGTGCAATACGTGACACCCCTCCCAGTCTGGTCAAGTAGCAGACTGGGAGGGCTGTCACGGGTTGCGAGTTTATAGCGCAGAGGTTAAGCTGAGTGGTCTTTGGTTCAATAGACTGTGGGTTCAATCCCAGCTGTGGCCGAGTTGCCTTAAATGTGTTTTTTTTTTTTTTATAAAGCATCTTAATGCACCTTTTCCCTCCCTGTTTGCACCTCCAGTAACTTCTATGCCAATATGTGACGAGTGAATTTCTCCGCTGTGAGATCAATAAAGCTCATCTAATCACATCTACTCCAATCTAAATAAATAAATAAATATACACATGTTCAATAAATAAATAAGCATTCAATTAATTACCCCCAATAAATGGTGAAATGATATGTTCTCATAATAAATCATTTATTTAAAAAATGCTGTTATGTTCCTTTTTTTTTAAATTCCTTTTAAAATGCTTAACTATTTTTATTCTTTTATTTTCTTTCAAAAAATCACTAGATAACCACAAAAAAAAAAAAAAAAATCTGTAAATGAATTGTCTTGACAAATAAAAACATTTTGAAGATATAAAAACTGTAAAATAATAGGAAATAAAATATGACTAGAAAGGATTCACAAAAAACTGAATTTTAAGTATTAAAAAATTTAATATATAAATGTTAAAGTATTGCAATTGTTTCCAAATTAATTTTTCTTTGCACCAACCAAAGGGGAAAAAATAGAAAAAAAGCATCTGAATTTTCTTTTTCTTTTTTCTTTTTTTTTTTTTTTGTGGTTATCTGCTGCGGACATACTGTAAGTGGACTGGTCATGTTATTGTCCGACTGATGTGTGGGTTATACAGGCCAAACATCTTCCCTTGCCAACCCAAATAATGAAATCCGTTTTTTGTTTTTTTTTTCATCTTGACGAAAACCAGAAATATGGTCTGCCTGCATTCATCAACAACTTATGTTTGTGAGACCCCCTACCCCTCAGGACCCCCGCCTAATCAATGCAAAAAATAACGACAAATGGCTTTAGCAGGTTATTCAGAGTTGACGCGGTACTTTGCAGACAACTTACTCTCTTGTTCTCTGACAATAGAATTCAACCACCACCATTTACAGAGACCCCCTCCCCCTCACAGCTCAACTTTGTGGTTTCAACACTGCAGCGAAAGTTTCCTGATATGGGGAAGAGTGACTTGAAGGACTGCATTGATAAGATCAACGAATTTCTCCGTACAACACGCAAATCATCCCAACGACTCTCAATGTAAACCTGTTCAGTATTCATCACAATAAACACATTTTCCCACATGCTCTTTTCCCACTTTGTGTTGTTTTAAAATCTAATCTGAAATATAGAAATAGAAATTATAGAAACAAAATGTTTCACAGCAGTTTTTTCAGGAACAGAATCAGGTTTATTGACATTGTCAGAGAAGGAGTTCACAAACTAGGGATTTTTTTATGGTACAATCGTGCAAGATGACACATATAAGGGTAAATAGAATTATAAAAATATCTAAACACTGTGGCAATATATAAGCAATATCTATACCGTATATCCAGGTCTGGGACGGATTTTAGCAGGGGCTTACCGGGGCTGCAGCCCGGGGCCCCGGCATTCCCGTAGGATTTATATTTTTGTGAATGGATAGTGTTAGAATTTACCGTATTTTCACGACTATAAGCGCACATAAACGTCTTTTTATCCCTTGAAATGTGCGGTGCTCCCTTTGGTAAGGAGACCAGGTGGGGGTTTTTTCCACTCATCAACATCGCTGTTGATGCAGAAGCAGCGAGTTTAAAAATAAAATTAATAAAATGAACAATATCACACCAAGATTTGTGTGTTTTGGTGAGACGTTTCCTAGCTTTCTTTAGTCTGTCTGCTTCCCTGATTATGACCAGTTTTTTGTCCTGTGGATCAGCAGTCAACTGAAAAGCAGGTTTATTGGGGATCTTGGTGTGATATTGTTCAATTTTATTAATTTTATTTTTAAACTCGCTGCTTCTGCATCAACAGCGATGTTGATGAGTGGAAAAAACCCCCACCTGGTCTCCTTACCAAAGGGAGCATCGCACATTTCAAGGGATAAAAAGACGTTTATGTGCGCTTATAGTCGTGAAAATACGGTAAATTTTAACACTATCCATTCACAAAAATATAAATCCTACGGGAATGCCGGGGCCCCGGGCTGCAGCCCCGGTAAGCCCCTGCTAAAATCCGTCCCAGACCTGGATATACGGTATAGATATTGCTTATATATTGCCACAGTGTTTAGATATTTTTATAATTCTATTTACCCTTATATGTGTCATCTTGCACGATTGTACCATAAAAAAATCCCTAGTTTGTGAACTCCTTCTCTGACAATGTCAATAAACCTGATTCTGTTCCTGAAAAAACTGCTGTGAAACATTTTGTTTCTATAATTTCTATTTCTATATTTCAGATTAGATTTTAAAACAACACAAAGTGGGAAAAGAGCATGTGGGAAAATGTGTTTATTGTGATGAATACTGAACAGGTTTACATTGAGAGTCGTTGGGATGATTTGCGTGTTGTACGGAGAAATTCGTTGATCTTATCAATGCAGTCCTTCAAGTCACTCTTCCCCATATCAGGAAACTTTCGCTGCAGTGTTGAAACCACAAAGTTGAGCTGTGAGGGGGAGGGGGTCTCTGTAAATGGTGGTGGTTGAATTCTATTGTCAGAGAACAAGAGAGTAAGTTGTCTGCAAAGTACCGCGTCAACTCTGAATAACCTGCTAAAGCCATTTGTCGTTATTTTTTGCATTGATTAGGCGGGGGTCCTGAGGGGTAGGGGGTCTCACAAACATAAGTTGTTGATGAATGCAGGCAGACCATATTTCTGGTTTTCGTCAAGATGAAAAAAAAAACAAAAAACGGATTTCATTATTTGGGTTGGCAAGGGAAGATGTTTGGCCTGTATAACCCACACATCAGTCGGACAATAACATGACCAGTCCACTTACAGTATGTCCGCAGCAGATAACCACAAAAAAAAAAAAAAAGAAAAAAGAAAAAGAAAATTCAGATGCTTTTTTTCTATTTTTTCCCCTTTGGTTGGTGCAAAGAAAAATTAATTTGGAAACAATTGCAATACTTTAACATTTATATATTTAATTTTTTAATACTTAAAATTCAGTTTTTTGTGAATCCTTTCTAGTCATATTTTATTTCCTATTATTTTACAGTTTTTATATCTTCAAAATGTTTTTATTTGTCAAGACAATTCATTTACAGATTTTTTTTTTTTTTTTTTGTGGTTATCTAGTGATTTTTTGAAAGAAAATAAAAGAATAAAAATAGTTAAGCATTTTAAAAGGAATTTAAAAAAAAGGAACATAACAGCATTTTTTAAATAAATGATTTATTATGAGAACATATCATTTCACCTTGTATTGGGGGTAATTAATTGAATGCTTATTTATTTATTGAACATGTGTATATTTATTTATTTATTTAGATTGGAGTAGATGTGATTAGATGAGCTTTATTGATCTCACAGCGGAGAAATTCACTCGTCACATATTGGCATAGAAGTTACTGGAGGTGCAAACAGGGAGGGAAAAGGTGCATTAAGATGCTTTATAAAAAATAAAAAAAACATTTAAGGCAACTCGGCCACAGTTGGGATTGAACCCACGAGCTGTTGATCTGGAGACCACTCAGCTTAACCACTGCGCTATAAGTTCGCAACACGTGACAGCCCTCCCAGTCTGCTACTTGACCAGACTGGGAGGGGTGTCACGTATTGCACGGCAAGAAAGTAACACACAAAAAAAAAGCTTTCACCGGCACTTATATTTTACAAAACTAAAGAAAATATATTTTCTTACATACCCTTTTGAATAACTTTGGCTTATCTTAATGAGGAATCAACTTTGGATATGATTTTAATTTCAACATCACCAGCCGCAGCACTGTCTCTGTCGCCTTTCTCTGGTTGCGCTACAGTCCGTATCCCCGGCTCCAACTTAATTAATTTTATTTTTCATTAAATAATAGCGATGCAGATAAATAGAAATAACAGTTCTCAGATAAGATCGGAGGTGTATCTATAACTACGCAACCATTTTCATAAAATAAGATTATGCAGTCACTTGACTGCATAATCTTATGTTAAATTAATTCATTAACTTTATTTTAATCAAAAACAAAATAAAATAGCACAGTATCACACCAAGATCCCCAATAAACCTGCTTTTCAGTTGACTGCAGGCCCACAAACGTCACCCTCAGCACGGCAGAGGTCCCAAGCGCCACCTGGTGGTTGTCCGGGTACATTGCAGTTCTTTTTGAAATAAAAAAACTGGCCTCAGGAAATACAACGTGATTCACGTGGGAATCACACAGGAATCACGCAGGAAACCGTCCATTTCCAACCAGTCCCCACTGTATGTAGCCAAACAGCTACAATTTGCCATTACAAAACTCCCACTCATCCCGAACACGCAAATCCCAGCCGCATATCTCGTATACCCGATGCAATAAATTCTGTCTTAATATGGTGGAGAGACAGAATTTGGCACTGACAAAATACATAAAAAGAAAGAATACACAAAAACAAAACAAGCGAGGCGATGATGAAAAACATAAAACTGAAAGCAAATAAAGGAGAAGTCAACAGCATTGTACTGTGAGCTAATACAGCTATATCTGCTTTGCTTCTCTTTCAGCATCTGTTCAAGAGCTAAGGCTCTGAGGCTGGCAGCCTGACATGTGCCATCCTGCCTGAATAGGACTTCTAAAGACACAGGGCCGTGGAAAATCGAGTCTTGGGGGCATGAATTACATTCCCATCCACACAAGGACGAGCCACATGTTAGTGCACCTTCCAAATAGACAAAGATAGAAGCGGCGGAATATCATAAAACACAGAGGTGCAGGGGCAATCAAATGCCTATTGATTTTAATGCATCTTCAGTCAGATATCATTTTCTGCAGCATAATGGATGGAGGAGTGGAAAAAATGAGTGCCCAAGACCGGTTTATAAGCGATTAAAAGCCTTGAGTGGAAGCCGCCACACACACAAACACACCATGCACACAGTGATGGCTCATGTTAGTAATGTTTTTTAAGCAGAGAGATTCATGAAAACTAGAGTGGGACCTAAAAGTGAACAGTTAAAAAATGTGATCCATTCTACATGTTAGCAAGACACTGATAGATTTGCTTTCCACTATGAACCAGGTCATCTCTAGCAGCAGGGGTGGTTAGAGGTCTTAAGAGACACTAGACAGTAAAAAAGTAAGGATCGCTGCATTTGATCTTATTGAGATATTTTTTCTCTTTTCTAAACTGAATTATTTTATTAATTTTGAGTATCTAAAGTAGCATTTCTTAACATTGACTTTTAACTTTTTGAAGAGATGCACTAGTCACGTTATTAATCTGTTTTTTATAAAGCTGTGATATGCAATATCTAATTTTCCGGACAGAAATATAATTGAGGAAATAAATTAATATACAGATATTTAAGGCTTTCTTGTAGTGATTTGTTAGCAACCTTTTAAAATTGAAAGAAGAGGCGATGTACCACTCCTGGAGAGGAGTCATTGTCGAAGAGAAAGATGTTTTGAAGTTTTAAACTGTTAAACTGTGTTCAGCACCATATAGTATAAAGTGTAATTAACAGGGCAAGCGTCCATTAATCAGCAAGGTTAATTATTTAGATCCTTACCTTAACACTTCATTTTTTGACAGGCTGTCCAAAGACATTTTAATAAAACAGAGCAACTTTGTTGAACTATATTAAACCTTCTTGTTATCTGTTCAAAGTCATGCTCTCTCTTGCAGCTTTAATAAACTGATAAAATTACATGTAAATTACAACTTACTGCAACTAGAAATGGGTCTGTTTGTTATCACCTTTACTTTGTAACAGCCTCTACACTAAAGAGTGTTTTTGTCATTTAAATCGGCAGCAGTTAGCTTGGTGCACTGATTGAAAAGAAAATGATATTTATGTATTTTTGTGTTTTAGATCAGTCACCAATTTCTCTGTAGCTGTTAAACTTGGCTTATTTGAAATAACTTTTTTATGCAGTAATTCGGGTTCTTTTATTTATTTTAATCAAATAAAAAAAGTATCATATTCCCAGCTACTGATAACATGTTTATTACATTGTCTACTAATGAGCACTTATACAGTGCAGAGTTGATGCATGCTGATGTCTAATCATTTGTCTTATAGGGAACAATCTGTACTTCTAAATATAACCAGTAAGGGAGGGAATGTACAGTGCACAATTGGAGGATAAGTCGTTTTAATTTGCTCACCTGGATCTCGATGTCTGCCCTGTGAAAACAGAAAAAACAAAAACATGCTAAGAACAAAGATGGCTTATTCTGATTGCAAAAATATAAAACACAATAGTAGAAGCAGAGTTTTAAGCTGGGTTTATATGTTGAATACGTTATGAACATTTAAAGCCGGCCTGCTCTTACCCAGAGGCCAATGTAGCAATTCTGCAATGTGAACGGCTGCAGAAAAGAGTTGCAGAGAGCAAAGCATCTTTATTTACCCTACCAACAACAATAAAGTTCACACTTTTTGCATGCTTCTTGTGTGCACAGTCTTTCCAGTTTCATAGCAGTTAAAGTGAGAATCAAACACCTCTCATTAGTGCAGAAGCTGACAGCAGGAAAGCTGAGTCTTATTTGCAGCACAGAGCAAGTTGAAACCATTGTAAAGTAAAAACATACAGCAGTTTCACAAGCAGCGAGTCAGGTTAAATCTACTGAAAACACTCAATTTTCTGGCATCAGTTATTGCTGCAGTAACTGAAGTCAATTGGAGTCTCCTTGGCAAATAGCTGCAGAGGAGAGCAGCCTTCAAAGTGCAGCAAAGCTTTGCAGAAACACACAGACACACATCGGCACCAACACACACACACACACACACACACACACACACCGAGCTCACCTGAGTTCTGACGGAGCCGGGATCTGAAAGAAGTTTGAGAACAGGCATGGTGAATGACGGGTTAGTGGGTGCACGCAAACACTTGCACACACTCATCGGTACAAGGCAACACTCCCTCATTAGTGGAAAAGGCGGACGCTCGCGTCTGACCACGCTTCGCTTTGTTTTGCTGCGCTGCCACTACCTGACAGCCGGGATAGAGGAGGTAACAAGGCGGGGGATGCGGAGAGAGGTGCGGGGAGCAGACCTGCGGTTTTTGCTCCAGCGCTTTCTTTCATTGGCTCCCTTAGGGACGGATTACAACCTTCCTCCTCCTCCTCCCAAGACACACACAACTGCTAGGCACACACACACACACAGAAACACACCTGAGCAGACAGAACAATTACGTAAACACACACACATACCTATGCAGCAGACACACGCCAGTTGGCAGACTGCCACAAATCTGTGCGCTACTTTTAGTACCAGCATGCACCCACGCCTCCCTCAGCAGGCCTATTGTTCCCTAAGCTGAACCTTTGACCTGCTGAGCAGACAAGCAGTGCTGGAGATAATAAGCGAGATAAACGCAGGTAAACAAACCTTATCGTTCAGTCACACACAAACAAACAAACAAGCACGCAAGCTTTTAATTTGATGCTCATTGTCTATTTCTGCATGAAGTGATGCCCCGCTGTCCGCTCTTTATTATGCTTTCATTAAATATGTAGCTATCCATGCTTGTCTAAGTATCTGTTTTGCTCATCTTATGACGTTTATAATGAAATAATCTGGAGGGCAAACAGCACAAGGCAACAAATAGAGCAAGAGCTGAGCAATTTTACGACAAGGTAGATAAATTGCTTTGTAAATGCATGCATACCCCTTGGAGTTCTTTACATTTTTTTTTTCATGTTACAGCCTCATTACTTAGGTGAATATTATTTGTTTTTTTTATGTGACAGACAAACAAGATAAAAGCATCTGTAAGCAGTTTTTAACATTTGCCACAGATCTTAAATCAAACATTGATGTGTACTTTGACTGGGCCACTCTAATGCATGGAAATGCTTTGTTCTCTGTGTTTGCCTCCACACAAAGCGTATTGTACGTCGGATAATGAGTTACATTTTGATCTTGTCTGACCAGGATATTTTTCTTTCATGTTTGCTGTGTCCCGTTTTAATGCAAACCTAAAAAAAAAATAGAACTAGTGGTTTCTACGGTGTTTTAGATCATAGATCAAACAATGTTTTGTGTGATTTATGCAAAGGTTGAACTATTTTCTAACATATGAGGCCTTCACAGGAGAGCTTGATTATTACTGAGATTAACCTAGTCAAAGGTGGAATAGGACTTACCAATTGGGTGACTTTGGGTGCTTGATGTTGTGTAGGGGTATTTGAGTCATTGTTGAAAGTTTAAGGAGTTTGAATACTTTTATGAGGAATTGCAGATACACCAAGAGTTTTAAACCTACTAAAATGCTTACACCAGATCAGATTTTTCATCTGCAACCGCCTGCCCCCCCAAAAGTACATTTGGAGTAATGAGAGGGCAAATTCAAACAAGCATCTGAGGCATTACATCTCGGCACCCTCCAACTGCAGGCGTCGCCCCAATCTCCTCTGGCAAACGCGGTGCCCAGGTGGGCTTGGCGGTGGCATTATTGCCTCTGAAACCTGATAGTGCCGTAACGAATGCGGCGTCAAACAGGAGCTGGCAGCTTGCCACGGGGAATGCAAACATGTGGTGATAAAAGTGCGATGAGCTATATTGCTTGTACGCTGGCGGTGAGATTTCAGCCCAAGTGTCAAAAGCATCTCGTTTTAAAATCACAATCGTTCTCTTAAAGGGGCTCAAAAGAAAAACAAAGTTTTGGTTTTCTCCGCTCTTCACGCTCTCTCTCTCACAGGCTTGCTGCTTCACATAAACACACTGGACGGACATGCTAAGCTGGTTTCTGTAGGCCTGTTTTCTTTTCTCGTTTTTAGTCTGAGGTTTTTCCTCCTCCTCCACTCTCAAAGCTGTCATTGTGCCTGCAGACAGCGCTGAATGACAGATACGCAGGGACACAATAAAAAGTTTCAGAAAAACTCCTTTGTAAAAGTACTGTTATGCATTGAGAGATATGCATTGACACATGGTGACATTTCCTTTAAAAGGAAAAAAAAGCAGTGGAGGCAGCGAAGCTACAGCATAAATATATGTATGTTGCATGCCAAATACAGATCCAATGTTTGGATGACCTTCATTATAAGAAAAGAAGGTCATGCTTCAGGATCTTATCTTGTTAGAACAACCCCCTTTTTTATCTTTACAACACAGTTTTACGAGGCAAGTATTATCGCCCTCATGCTCTGCAATAAAAGCGCACTTTAGGTGATAAAATTTAATTTAAGGCCTCTTCAGAAACGTCTTGTCCAGTAAGAAGGGATGTGAGCAGACTTACCTGTTTTTCCACAGGTGCCAAAGCGTCCGAGGCATTCTTTATGGGCGCCTAGCCCACACTTGGAGCAAAGGTAGCCCTGGTAAAAGATCCCCCTGCAGAGACCGAAGCAACAAGATGAAGAGAAAACAGCTCCAGCAACACTTAGATAAGAGGGCAGGTGTAAGATTTAGAGCTGTGCTGTATTTTCTATCTAGTTTAAGCAGACGGGTTGTGAAACAGCCTGAAAACTTCATTCATCTTGTTTAGAGATGCAGTATTGTGCTCAATTTGCCACACTAGGAGGGCTGCGGTACAACGTGACATTTAAGCTTGTAGCACAGCTCCATCTTGTGCCACCATGACTTTGACATTTTGGACTGCGATTGAGATGGATTTCCTCTGGAGGAGGCTTAAAATCTCAAAAGTTTTATATGCATTTCAGTCCCGTACAAAAAAATGTGCATACCGCATCAACACTTTTGAAACAACCAGATTTATTTGAACAACCAGAATTTGAGGTGAAAAGACGAAGAAAAAGCATTTTACAGATACAAATCTCATAACTGTTTGATCAGTTTAAGTCTCTATAAAACTACTGGTGTTTTCAATGTAAAGTTAAATGATAGTAAGTTGTTCCATTTTTGTTTTCTTGTGTCGTCTACAAACTTGAGGCAAACTGTAAACAGGACGACTACCTTCTTATTTTTTTAACTTCTTGCATAAAAGATGGAGTTTATTCATAATAATTGTGTTAACAGAACCTCCCACCTGAGGTATAGATCACTGCAACTCCTCCAGAGTCATAGGAAATCTCTTTGCGTCTTCTCAAATTAATGCGTGGTTTGCAGTTGTTTCATACCTTTTCAGTTTTTCCATAAAATCCATTGTTCTGTGAGATGTGCAAAGCTCCTACTATTGTTGCATGCTCAAACACTTCTTTAAGAGGTAGCATCTTTATACTGGGATCAAATTACACAAAAACTCTAGAACCTTTTCCAATATTTTGGGGTAAAACAAGATCAACATTGTTTTTGTTTGCATCAATTCTTCTTAATAAACTGCAAAAAAAAAGCCAATTCTACTCCGTAATTATCTATTGAATGTCTCAAAAATTAACTAACATAAAGTAAGCAATAAAAAACACTGCTTATATTTTAAATCGAAGTCTTTCGTTGCCTCTGACCTTAATTAATCCCTGTCTATGGCCACAGTGAAAAAAAGTTCTGTCAATACATATTTAGTTATGTTTTAAAAACGAGGCTACAAATATGTTATAAACAAGGTCCATGGGAATAGCTCAGAAGCTTTCTGGAAATTGTGGGCACAGTGATTTAGAATTCTGCTCAATGAACGTGATCAAAAAAATCATATCATTTTGTCTGCTGGACAGGTTTCCTGCCCATGATCCTTTCTAGGAAGCGTATAGTTAAAGTGGCTTTGGCTATCTAGCTGCTGTAGCCCTGGAGTGCTGGAGGACCCAGCGACTACATTACTTTACCTACTTCACCTAGACCTTCAGCTATTTTACCTTTGTTCTTTTTGCTCTCTGTGGTTAACTATTGTCCTCTTTCTTTCCTTAAAGTAGGCCTGACATTAATGTCTATGTGGGACTTTCTTGCCTGTAGCTGGATTTGTTTAAGGCCTGTTTGGTCAGATTGACTTTTGTGGAGGAATTTTTTTAAAGCTGTAGTTAGTTGGATCTACTTGCCAAGGTAGTTTTTGTTTACTTAGCAGAAATACTGTTTAACGATTACAAATATTTCAGTGGTACTTTAACAACTTCCCACCCACTCTACCCCTAGCACTACCTCCGTCACTAGTGGCAAAGCTTGCCTGACATGTATATTTCCTAAATATGGAATTAGATTTTGTATATTCAAGCTGATGCTCTCATACATTCCTCTCCAATGTATCCTCCACCTCTTAAGAGCAGCTTAGAGGATAATTAATTTATCAAAACTAAATTTCTCCAATAGAATACGATCAAAGTTAATATATTAACTTTTATTTTAGTGCACAAAGCAGCAATGCCTATTCCATCAAGGAATTATCTTTGAACCATCCTAACTTTCTATACAACACATACAGTAAGAACAAAAGTGTGATGCAGAACTTTCCTGGGGGGGGAGGCTCTAAAACAACTTTAAGAGAGGCTCAATCTGAAGAGGTGAGGAAATATTACGTTAGCTGTCAAAGCAATAACTTTAAAGTTTGTGATGTGAATAAGGAAGTCAGAGAAACACATTGGTAAAACACCTGAGGCGAAACTACTTATGCACTGTGCTTTGCAAAAGAGTTTGCAATGAAACTTTGTATTTATTAGGATTTTGTGAGGAAGACCGACTATATAGCCGTGCATTATTGGTAAGTGGAAGGAAAAATACAATTTTGTTTAAAAAATAAATACAAGAATACACTAAAAAATTGACGTTTGCAGTAGTCTGCACATTTCAGTCTCTGATTTGCTGCAAATGTTTACTTTTTAATTAAAATTTTGTCATGTAATGGTATTTTTTGCTTCAAATTTTAAGCAAATGAATATGCATTGATCCAAACCCTCTTTTTTTGGCTCCAATTGCAAATTTTGAGAACAATACTCTGCAATAATTTAATGTCTTTTAAAGCCTAATATCTGACCAGCTCTTCTTCACATGCTGATCAAAATAATCCCCACAGCATGATGGGTGTTGCCACCATGTGTCTGATATTCAGCTGTAATTATCATCCCTACACAGTTTTTTGCATATATGTCAGAGAGTTTAACGTCATGTTACCTTTCTTGAGGAAAACATAATTGCTGATGGCGTCATTTAAATGCAAAAAAGCATTCGTGACCTGACCATTTTACTGAGAATTTAAAACTAATCCATTCAACTATTTCAAATTTTTTTTCACCAAGTAATATAAAAAAAAAAAGCTACAAGCACAATGTGAATAAAAGCAAACAGCCTCTTTTTCTCGCCTGGCTCTGTGTCACAGAGCAATAATCTCGTCCCCATTTCCCATCCATCGCCTTGGAAGAAGTGACGGAGTGTGACAGACATTTTTCTTTCTCTCCATCTTCTGTAGGTGAAACCACTCAGTCGTTCCCGCTGCGGGGAGAGACCATGAGTCGCAGTCCTTTGGGTTGCCGATACCATTCAGCAAACTCAAAAGGAGTTTTGTACGAGTGAAGCCGGGGAAGACGGGGAGAAAAGGAGAAAGTGGTGAATGGATTGTTGGGGTACACTGGAGAGGAACGGGGAGAGCTGAGGCCTTTTAAAGGAGTCGCGACAGCGCTTCAAAGCCCCTTTCAGTTTGACGCCGTGTTTGGCTGTTCTGACTACATCTTTAACAAGTATGTGCACGAAGAAGGTCGGGTCTCTTACCTGAGCAGCATGTGGCAAGAGTTGCAAGAGGTGATTTTTTCAAAGGTGTGCATCCGGAACTCGTGGAAATTGTTGGTTGCATTCTCAGGACGAATGTTTGATCTAAGAAAAGAGAGCAAGATATAAACATTAAAGCCCTAATAACACTAGTCTGCTTTCAGAGAACTCACATTAAATGTTATTTCTTTAACAAAAATGACTTTGTGCTTATAAAGTCAGTTTGTTTCAGTGCTCAAGCTGTCAGACTGCTGGATAAAGACGTCAAATATAAAAGCAAAGAGCAACACTTTTTTTCTCATACTTCTAATTGCGGCAGACAAACTCTTCCGCGGCTGAAGCAGCATCTCCACCGATACGCTTCTTTGAAGTGGGAAGGAGAGGATTGTGAGCAGACAGTGAGGTCTGCACCCAGAATTAACACAAGAGGCTTCCTCTGCCCCTGGGAAAATCGAAGCATGCATGGGTATGTGTTTGTGTGTTGAGGGGAGAGTGCTGGGAGGATAAAAACAAAAATAAATCCTGGATTTTTACAAACAAGTGTTCCTCTTTAGTTTCTGCGTTCGCGGTATCCAGATATAATCTGATATTTACATGTGTGCAGCCACTTTCCTGGAATCTGGAAGAATCTGTACAATTAGTGTTTTACACGCTCAACAAAATTGCACCATACAGATAAATGTGGATTTACTTTAGATAACAAACATGTATTGGATGGAAATTAAATTGAGTTAATCCAGTGATTTATTTTTATGAGTTTGGGAATAGAACCAAGTGATAACAAATCAGTAATGTTTATGCATATTCTCATTAGAAATGATGGATAGAACCCCAACAGTTTGCTAGCATTAGACAAACATACAAGTTTTAGGCAAGCTTGTGGCAACAGTATGTTCTTCCAATAGCCACGCTTTAAGATTTTTAGTAAAAGAGGTCAGAGTTGGGAGTGTTCAGGTGTAAGAGGAATGAACAGAAAAAAAGGCATTCTTTCATAAAAAAAAACACACTAGAATCTCTAGAACTACACTCTAAAAAGAAAATGCAGCCCCAACTTAAATGAATTGCTTCAATTAGTAACAAGTAACTTAATCATGTTGATTCAACTGCATTTATTGTGCTTATATGTTACAAGATGAAGCAGTTAAATTAATTGCTTAAAGAACCGGACTAGCAGTTAGGGCATAGAGCTTGGAATCCTGAGGTTCTGAGTTCGAGCCCCACTCCCACAGACTGCCACTCTGGGTCTTTGAGCAAGACCCTTAACCCCACGCTGCTCCCTGCATGCCCCTGAAGGGCAGCCCACTGCTCCCCAAGGGGATGGGTTAAATGCGGAGGTAAATTTCTCCAATGTGAGATCAATAAAGTTAATAATTTCAGAGTCTGTATAAACTGTTTCAATCTGCTTAGTGCTGTGAGTCAAACTTTCTTTTAAGGGCTATATAAATACAAAAGGTATTTTTCTGTAAAGCATTTTTGACAACAAAACGCCTCCTGAAGCAGGATTCCAACTGGGAGGGTTGGACGTCGCCAATCATCCCTGTGTTCAGTGTTCAGTGTCGTTGCTGTGCTTCTAAAACATACTGAAGGCGGATAGTAGGTTACCATGTCTATATTAGCAATTCTAATGGTTAGCGTCTCATAAAGCCAGTGCCATGCATACAGTACGTAGTAAATACATGTAAGCATGTTTTATGAGAGTTTTAACAAATAAAATGAAGAGAAATTATCAGTTTGTGTTGCTGATACTGTAGATAGAAGTACTACAGTTAAAATCTGAATCAATTCCAACCATATTTGTTTTCACAAGCAATGAATTTGACTTTGGTTCTCCATCAATCACATGGTAGTCATCCGTTTCAACAACATTTATACAAGTCAGGGATGGAGAGAAGGTCGGATGTGGGGATCCTGTCCTCAAACCTAATTAGTAAATCAACTGCTAAACTCAGGTGAGTGATTTCCAGCTCTCACTTTTATCTCAAACAGAACCCTGCCCTGTTCAGAGAGTCAGCTAATCAAGATTTCTTCCCAACATTCAGTTATATAAGCATTTAGAGGTAATTGCTGGAAAAAGATTTGCAAACAACAGAAAAGGACTGAGGTTATGGTTCAGAGCTTATAATTAAATGAAGACGGTTTTATAGAGTCCACACATCATTACATCATCTGTACTCTGTTATATTGATCAAGTTTGAATTGGCCATTACAGAATCTTTTAAATTAAGTTTGTATTTTATGAAGCTTTGTTTTTTTTTAGCTTTTCTTTTTACATTATTAGAGGTAAAATGTCTTCTTGTCTTTCTCTTATGCAGGCCATATTGTAGACCTCCCTGCTGTCTGAACCAAATTATTCTACTCTAAGGAGGAAGAGTTCATCTGCTTGGGATTTCAATTTCAGTCACTTGCAAAGTACGCATTATGTCACTAAATGCTGTAAACAGCGAGTGGTTTGGGGAAAAAACGCAAGAGAAAAAATTTAGTTTTTTTGGGAAAAACTCTCAATTCTCATCATTGGATAATTTGGCTTCAGAAGGTGCAGAAATCATATACCTGTTTTCTTAGCCTCACATCAACAGTTCAGCTTCTTCATCATCAATTCCACTACAAGATTGTTGCTTTTCTCAGGGCTTTCAAATATTATTCGACTAAATTGTTTTTGCTACTCCTATTTTAAAAGCTAGAAGGCCTGTTTGATAATGCGGAAGCTGCCGCTGACAAAAGCAGTGGGTAAGACCAAATAATCAAATACAGGTATCTCAGTCATCAGTGACTGTTAGTATATATCAAGGTTTGTGTTTTTTCTTCCTATTTTATAGTTTAATTTCTTTTTCTGTATTTTTTTTTTATTTATTCAGAAAATGAGTGAAACATCTAATTTTGCTCCAGCATTAATATGTCTTGCACAAGCCTATTTCAGACAGCACTAAGATATTTGAAAAGTTAAAGGGAGCAGCTGAGAAAACACGTCTTTTTCTATGTTATGTCGGCAAAGAACTCATGCTCTTCCTCAACACTGAAGTCCTCAGACATTTTTCTTTCACTGTTTCTTTCTTTGCACAGGTAAACAGCACATTTCTTCTTCTACGCTTGCATTATCGGCAGAGCAGACGCTGAATGCGCACTTTCATCTGGTTTGGTCTGCCGCGGTTTCTCTCGTGAACGCGCTTTTAGGAAATCCTATACACTACTGTTTATGCTCTAAAAACATTCTAAATGACTTTGTTTCGAGTAAATTATGGACGCTACCCACTCAGGACACTTGGAATACATTGGACGAGCAGTATGGAGGAATATTGACACGTTTTTGTGGACTTTTATGGACCTTTCTGCCTTGGGCGCCATAGACCTCCATTATTTGAATGTCAGCAGACAGCAAGAAGCCTCCCAGATCTCCAGATGCATTTGAGATATCAAAAAAGTACTCCAGAGTGTTGTTCAGCATGGGGGTGAGTAGAAAATGAAGGCTAATCATGTTTTGGGTGTACTATTCCTTTAAACAAATCCGACTGTATTTTCTGCCATAAGGTGACAAGTGAAGTGAAATGACACTATATAAATAAACAGAATAGAATTGATTTAGCTTCCTATACCTAAACAGGATTTGTAAAGATAGTAAATATGTAGGAAAAGAGCAAAACAGAGTGAAGACAATGAGCTTTAAGATCTATGCCTAACGCAGTAACACTGAATGTATAGAGTGTGTGAAGACGAAGGAAGAGCTAAAATATTCCAAAATGTATTAACATGCTTTTTATCCAGGCATGGCTGCAGAAATAATACTCCTACTTTTTTTTTCTGTACATTTTGCCATAAAGGCAAAATTAATTGGTGGTGGTGGAGGGGGTGGGGGTGGCAGTGCTTGTCAACAACAGATGGTGTAATAGTGGGAAAGTTATCGGCAAAATGCATCTATGCTCCTAGAATAAAGAACTGTTGCCTGCTAGTAGTGGTTTTCAGAGTTAAGTTGTGTTCACTGCTTATTCTGCATGTCAGTTGATGCCATAATATAAAGAAAAACATCATTTTATTTTGTCAATGTTGAAGCATTGTATTATTTAATGTTGCTAAGTTTGTCGCATATGACCTTATGGCATCTTCTCATCTTTGATTTTGTGAAAAAGGAACAATGAGGTTCACTGTGTCCGTCCTGGCTCTGCATCTGGAGCGTGGATTAATGTTTCATTGGAGATACAGCTTATCAGTCACTCCTGCAGGTTTGGATCCGGTCCAGGACTAGGACTGGTTGATGCAGTTCGACCACATGCAGAAAAAGATTCATCTATCTGAATACAATGTTTGGAGAGGGCGACACCCCTTTGTGTCACTTTCATTTCTGTCATCGTTGAATCACAACAGACAAGAATAACAAGATGAGCAACGTGTTGTGCATTAACAGTGGGACCAAATGCAGCTGAGATGATCACATTGCTGCCCTTGTGCTGTCCCAGGCAGACCGGCAGATAGAAAACACACTCACATGGCCATGCCGAACTGCTCCAGCCACTTCTTTTTCAGCTCTTTGGTCTTGAAGAAAAACTCAAAGCCATTCTGGCCCTGGTTGTGAGTGAGGTAGAATCCATGGGACCACTAGGACAGAAAAAGACAAACAAAAAAATATTCAAGGCAGGAGATTAAACAACAGCGAGCATCTACGCTGATGGAGAGGCAACGGAAAGACAGATGGGGACAAAGGGATGCAAAATGAAGGAGGGATGCCTTGGGGAGAGCAAGCTCAAAGGCAGAGGGGGTGGAGAGAGCGAATGGAGCGATGCAGAGGATGAGTGTTAAACAGAGAGAGGGAAAAAATGAGTTAGTTAACTGTGGCACACCGCTGCTGGGTTTCAAACAGCATGCATAGACCAGAGCAGTGAGTGGGCCTCTAATCTGCAACAATTATCACTTTAAAGGTTAAATATCAGCCCATTAGCTTCTGTGCCGACTCGGGCATCTGTGTTCTTAGACAGCAAAGCAAAGCGGATGATTGTCGGATGCACTTTTTATGACTGCTGATCGTGGTTTATTGAACTCGGCAATGAAGGTTAAACTGAGCCGGGTTCACTGGGTGGTTAGAAAAGAGCAGCGGCATATTGCTTCCACTCAATAAATAAAGAAAAGGAAAGCATTGCTTCAAACATGGATTCCCAGTGGACCCACTGGGTAGTGGCAGTGTCTTCCTGTCAATTTCTAAGAGGAAAAGAAAGAGAAAAACATTTTTTTTTATCTTTTTGTATAAAGAAGTTTGCAGAGGATGCTACTGAAATACTATTACCTTGCATTATAAAGTTATGGAGTGACTTAGTAAACCCTAAAGAATCCTTTTTAGCAGTATTGTGGAGGAGGACAATATTGCCTCAGTTTCCTATAGACACTAATTTCTTCTGCGTTCTCCTTAGGTCCCACACAGAATTACAATCAGACTGAAACCTGGACTTATACTGGACCATTGCAACACTTTGATTACTTCCTGTTCTATAACCTTCTGTAGTGGTTGTGATCATCGTCTTAGAGCTTGACAAAATATCAGACATGCTTTATTATATTTTAGATGGATAGACACATAAAATGGAGTTTAGCTTACCGGTATAATTGAAAAATAAACTCCCAGTCCTTTGATTTTATAACAACCCCAGATCCTCAACCCTCCACTGCTGTGCTTTACAGTTGCCATGAGGAATTGTATCTGTGATATTTAAGCACAGACCTTCAAGTGTAGGCGTATTCATATATATTTTTTCAAATGAAGGCTGTTTCCTGAAAACTATTCTAAACAAGGAAACTGAGAAAATTACCTTTGAATTTCACCCAGATTAAAAGACGGCAACAGTTGCCTCTAGAAGGAGATTAGCGATTCATTTTCTCTTTCGATGTGGGAACACAAACCTGTATGATTCATAAGGCATGTTCCCACCATGCCTTATGAACAGAAAATGTCTATAGCAGTATCCGACTGCTGTTTGGCATTTAAAATCCTATAAAGAGCAGCAGGGGTGTAGATAGGGTTGCCAACTCCCTGGAAAAAAAAAAGGGACACCATGTGCATGCAAGCTGACCCGATTGTTTTTACCCCTCCTGGCGTGGGGATTTTTTATTTATTTTTTTACCTCACTTTGTGTGTGAAAAGATTTTTTTAACTATTTGACTGAAATCTGCATTAATTTTAATGCATATTTGTGAGTGACATGAGCAATTTACTTGATGACAAAATAACAAACTTTGCTGAATACAATAAGTATCTAAAACATAAGCCTGTTCTGCTTAACTTCAAACTGTAAAAATGTATATAAAACAATAAATAAATAAATAAATAGTGCACATTTTTGGTCCAACAGCAAACTTGTGCAAACTTGTAAACATATTTGTGCATTGAATGCAATGACTGTAGGCTACAGTTGCAAAACAGAAAAAAAAAATCAAAAATCATTAGCTCAATGCAACTTTATGTGGCGATAGCCTAGTTTTTCCGCTCATATTTCTTCTCAGGAGTGAGGATTTGTCTGCCCCCAAAAGCAGCGTCAGCATTTAAATTACTCTGTTCATCCCACTGCCCTGTTGTCTCCCGCTATCAACCAATGGGATGAGCTTATTCTTGATCGTTACATATATGTTGTCAGTTCATTGGTCACAGTGCAGGACAGGGTGCAGGAACGAGTTTACCGTAAGTTTTGTAGCTAACGAGCACTTGTTCTCCATTAGTTTTTTACTGACAGTTTTTTTGCTCTCGCAGTAATGCGGGACAAAGTTAGTTCCTTTTCCACTAAATACTGGACAGGTACTTTTATTTCTAAATACAGAATAATTCTGTTTTTTCAAGGGACGGTTGGCAACCCTAGGTGTAGATAGCTTTTAATGTTTTTGGACAAATAAACTTTATTTCCCTCTGTTTTGGCACTTCTAAGGGTGTTAAATGAAATACTTTATGAACTGGTAGGCTGGCCGTCACTAAGTCTACGTAGACAACTTAATTCGTATATTTTTCTATACAAGGCCATGTTGGGTAAACTGCCAGCATATTTATGTAATCTCCTCAAGCTAAATTCCAGCCATCTTCATCTCCGTTCCACCAGGTGGCGCTCTTACCAGGTTCCAATGGTTTTTACTGAGCTGGGGAAGAAATCCTTCTCTTACTTTGCTCCATGGTTCTGGAATAATTTGCAAAACTTGCTCCATTTAAATGATCTAGTCCCATTGAATGAATTTAAGGCCATGTTAAAATGTCATGTAATTCAAAAATGTAACTGCCCTATGTGACCTGTCTTTTCCTCTATGTGAGATTTTGTCTATGTTGTATTTCTGTTTGTATTTTAACTGGTGTGCCGTCTTGGCCAGGTCTCCCTCGAAAAAGAGATTTCAATCTCAAGGGACTTCCTAGTTAAATAAAGGTTAAATAAATAAATAAAAAAATAAATAAAATTCCAATTGGTATAAGAGCAAACTGTAGATCTTTTTTACCATCTAGCAGGAACCTTTTAGATAGTAGCCATGCTATCTTAATTGCAAGCTACCAAACTTTTTCTTTAGTTCTTCTAATTGAAAAAACCTGAGAAGATTAGCCTTAATGTGGAGCTATTAAAAACATCTGAGACTTGCTTTTTAAGTGTTGAAGGTTTTTTCAAAGGTTTGAGGCTTTAAATATTTTTGTGAGGCACTCCATGCTGCACATTTGGCCCTTAAGCAAAAAGAGTTAATGAAGATAGACAATTTCTATCGTGATATTTTGTATTTTAATTTTATATCTTCACAAAGTAAAAAATTAAAATAATATTTTATGTTTATCAGCCTTCCTTTTTAGTAGTTAGTCATATTTTGTACTTTTTTTTTTAACATAAAACAGATATTGGTACAACTTTTGACTTAACTTGGTTTGTTACAGTTGTTGCAAGTTGTTATTTTTGTTCTGGGAATCGACCAAAAACATTCTCCGGGCCAAAAATTATTATCAAAACTGAAAACAGCTTTTAAAAAACATCAGATACCTCTTTTTTTCAGACTTACAGATATTCGTTCTTTTTTACTTTGCTTCATTAAAAGATTGACTATTTACCTCCAACAAGGAGGTTGTGTTTTTCGGAGAGTTTTATGCATGTGTTTGTCTGTCCGTTTACAGCACAACTTGTAAAATTATGAAAGGATTTTAATGAATTTTTTAACAAAGAAGCACTTCAGTCCAAGGAACAATTCATGACATTTTGGTGAGGATCCGGATCACCATCTGGATCCAGAATTATTTTTGAAAGATTCTTGGACTACAGGTATTAACTTAAGTATGTCAGGGAAATAAGCTACTTGGCAGTACTTTGCTCTCTCCAAGTGCTTTTCTAGTTAATAATATCTTTTGTTGCTAAAACTGAAAAAATAAATTACATGGAAATTTGTCTTTCCTTTTTTAATTGGGGAGAAGTGGACCCCTAATTACTTTCTAATTGGATAGTTTGGCACACAGTAAAAAAATTGGACAGCACAGCTCTAGAGCTACTGTACCAAACTGCCATCCAGTCAGTAAGTGAAAATTTTTCTTTAGATTTTTAATTAAAAGAAAAAAAAAGTAACACCACAACTAATCTTTAAAAAAACTGACCCGAATAGTGCTAACTACTAAAACCAAAACATTATGCCAAAATACATTTAAACATGATTTAGAAAGATAAACTGATTATTCTTTTCTTTTTAACTGCTATTTATTCTTTTATGAAGTCCTTAGATGTCTGAATACTTTCTGGAAAACCATTTTACCTCCACATAATCTGCATTCAAACACTGCTTTTACAATGAAGGTGCTCATTTCTGCAACCTTCAAGCAGACGCCATCATCTCCATCACAGCAAACACAAATATAGCGGCAAAGAAAATGCGCAACATTCTTCATGTCAGAGGTGAACGACGTTAAAACGGCTGCAACCTTCATAAATATAATCCTGTAAACGCATATGGGTCTAAGCCCTCGGTGTCTGCTATTACTGCGTCATTATTACCCAAATCAATGCTTCCTGGCACGCCTTGGATATCATTCCTCATTATGATTGGCAATATTTTCCCCCAGTTGGTACTTTGTATTCACTGTGTGTACAAGAGTAGTCAGGCCCAGAACGAGGTTTAATGATAGCACCATCTGGGAGGAGGCAGGCTGCTCCAGTCTGACACTGTTTCAGAAAGATGCGGAGGGGAAAAATGAATAAGAGAATGTAAAACAAGAGCAGGAACAAGCATGTACCAAATTATTTAGAACTGTTTTCTGTTAATTATTTTGTTGTTCTAGTTAGGAGCCTGAAAGGTTTTTGCCTGTAGCTCATTTTAGGAGCCCACTGGGGGATTCAGAGCACAGAAGGCGACAGCGGGGTGGAGAGACTGCTACAGGTGCTAATAAAACCCTATAAAGAAGCATGTTAAGTTAATTTTCATTCAGTTTTATGAACCTGAGTATATCTGACAAATGGTTATGGCAGTTCATTATACAGAAATAGCACTGCTAATTGGTTTGTCAGGAGTCCAACGTGGTCTCCGAGCTTTGCTGACTCAGTTATAAAGAAGCAATAACGGGCTCGACGTCGCAGAACTCACCTTCATTACGGCGTTCGACTCGTTAGGTGCTGCTTGTTTTGTTTCTTTTTATTTTACAGAGAGTTAATAGTGTAATATTCTTATTATTTTATCCATTTTACAAGCTAAAAATTACATCAAAACTATAAAAGTGCCTATTTGACTGTGTCCTGCTGGGACAAACAACATGGCATGCAGCTGTTTGTGAAATTTAATACCATGGAAAGCTCTTTAAGCTGTCGTGAAACAATAGTAAATCACAGCTAAAGTGGGACAGAGTCTTACTGAAGTACCGCAGTATAACATTACAAGCAAAGACTCTCACACTGAAAAAACAATCCAGAAATAAGTAAAAAATGGCTTAAATTAAGTATATTTAGCCTTAATTTGAGCAGGTAAATAAGATGATTTGCCAATGGAATGAGTATTTTCACTCTTAAAATAAGATAGTTAGATAATATTTACTTGAAATAAGACGATAAAATAGTTTTTTCTTATTTTAAAAGGAAATTGTCTTGTTCCATTGGCAAAGTGTCTTACTTACCTCCTCAAATCAAGGAAAAACACACTTATTTTAAGAAAAAATAACTTATTGAGATTTATATTTTTTGCAGTGCAGAAATATGTTCTTTTATATTGATTATTACTCCTCATCAATCATATGTACAAGAGGTTATGATCTGAAACAAAAGCTTACATACAATCCACATGATATATCACAGACATGTTTAATCTCATGCGGTTATAGTTTAAGAAATCATCTTAAAAGCTTCTTTACAAGAAGAGTTCTGGAAAGATTTATCTACGTCTCTCTGCTGTGAAATAACTACCTTTTGCCAAAATGCTAATTTACTGCTTTTATTATTGGCAAAAACAGTCTTCACCACTCTCGCAGTTACTTTTGGAATAAGCAAAGAGAAAAACAAAATAAACTGGCTGACAGAAAGATTTCCACTGTAGAAGCCAAAACGAAAGACTTGTTTCATGGCAGATTTAGGAGAGCCGCTCTTGCCAACATGTTAATACCTCTTGAACTTTTTCATGTTTTTCCCACTAAACCAAAAACCACTAAACCACAAACTTTGACTTTTTTGTGAATTTATTATATTGAAGACCAACAGAAAACCTTAAGAGGCAGTGGGCTGCAGCATTGAGCAGTGCAGCTTGGGGATAAGGATCTTGATAAGGAATCCAGACTTAGGTTTGAACCAGCAATCTTACAACAGTATTTTATTTTTTTTATTTTCTTGAGTCTGTCACTTATTCTGTTATTTTTATACACTTTTCCAAAGTTGCTATAACCTCCTGCTGCTTCTATAACACCACAATTTATCCGTTGTGGGACAATAAAAAAAATGTCTATTCTTATCTATTCTATTAACAGAATAGTATAGATCTATTCTATTATTCTTCTCACATATAAAGCCTTAAATATGATTGTTCCTTATGTTCCTAACAGAGCACTTCGCTCTCAATCCGCAAGTTTATTAGTGGTTCCTAGAATTTCTTAAAGTAGAATGGGAGGCAAATCTTTTAGTTATCAGGCTCCTCTCCTGTGGAACCAACTACCAGTTTTAGTCCGTGAGGCAGACACCTTGTCTACTTTTAAGGTTGGGCTTAAAACTTTCCTTTCTGATAAAGCTTATAGTTAGAGTGGCTCAGGTTATCTGAGCTATCTCTATAGTTATGCTGCTCTAGGTTTAGTCTTCTGGAGGACATAGGGATCCCTATTTCATCATTCTGCTTCATTCTGTCTCCATTCTCCTACTCTGCAGAGTCAGCCTAGGCAGATGGCTGCTCACACTGAGCTTGCTTCTGCTGGAGGTTTCTTTCTGTTAAAAGGGAGTTTTTTCCTCTCCACTGTCGCTACAAGCATGCTTAGTGTGAGCGATTGCATTCGAGTCAATAAGTCGATGCAATCAGCTGGTTTTCCTTAGATAGAAAACTTTGAATTAATTTGACTGTATGATCTGGTGAACTGTTAAAAACCATGAGATGACGTGTTGTGAATTGGCGCTATAGAAATAAACTGAATTGAATTACTCTAACACCTGCCCTGGTAAGAGCTTCTCTCCTCTGGGTTGTGCAGCTCACCCAGAGCAACCGTGGTCAGACCTCTTAGGGAAAACAAATCCCCAAAACAGTTGTTTTTTTTTATCTGAGTTTTTACAGATTTTATTTAAGGGTTTCTTAATAAAGAATGCTAAATACATATTAGAAGGGTTGTCAAAAGTATCGATATTCAAAAAAGTATCGATACTGAAATGTTGTATCCGGATACAATACTCGTTTTCAAAAGTATCGATACAGTGCCACCACCAGTGGCACCTAAGCAGTCATTCATCTAAAGTGCAGAATAGTGGAAAATGCACTTTCAGAACACTGTGTAATTGAATAATTCTACGCGCTTTTCAGTTTCACGCTTTTTTTTTTAAGAGTTGCAGCTGCTGAGAATTACTTTTGCTTCTTAACCGGTTTGGCTAGCGTCATTGTTATGTGTGCAAAGCATAGCCAAGGAAGGAACACTTAATTTTAATTTTATACGTTTTTTATCAAGCTTACTTAATATTCTGCACAGCATACAACCTCAAAATATTGTTCTTATTGTTTATTGTATTTATTTATTGTATTTTATTTATTAATTAAAATATTTCTGTAGAATTTTGGAGTCTTTGTTTTGGTATCGAAAATGGTATCGAGTATCAAATATTTTCCTCAGTATCGGTATCGAGTTGAAAAGTTTAGTATCGTGACAACCCTACATATTAGTATCACAATTTCCATGATATTATCAGTGAAACAATTTAAAAACATCCATCATGTTCCTCCTGCTTCACAACCATTAATTCAATTGAGCTAGTCACACCAAATCCTAATAAATCATAATTTTAGTTTATGGGGTATAAGTATGGCTCTATGTGTTTGTTAGGGAGGTGCAAACATTGCATTATTACATCTGCCAAGGAGGTTATGTTTTCATCTGTGTTGGTTTGTCTTTTTTCAAAATAAGGGATTTAAGTGCATATAGTCACTGGCAGCATATGATTACATTTTGGTGATGATCTGGATCACCAGATCCAGGAATTTTTTTAAAGATTCTGTGAATACAGGTATTAACTTAAGGTGGAAGTCCTAATAGGTCTGCGCTCTCTGCATGCTTTTCTAGTATTCTAGATGTTTTCATATTAGAATCTAAACATGTAACCTTGGTGTCAATGCTGTGCATGTTCTATATAGGCTAACTTATATGTTTATATCACGAACTGAAGTTAAATTAAAACACTTTTTTTGTTACATTCTAAGGCAGTATTTAGAAATATTGTGTTTTCGGGACGATCAGACAGTCAGCTGACCTAATGTTTGGTGATAAACTGCACCGATTTTCAGGTGGAGCTGTTAGATCTGACATCTAGCTGTTAGCTGGCAACCGTCAGAGATGACGGCGCCTCGGGGCACTCAGACCTTTCTGTTCTCCTTGTCCGATGTTGGGTTGTTGGTAATCTTGAAGAGGTGCAGGTCGATCACTTCCTTCATTTCATAGTTGTCTCCTCGACGCTTGCAAACAATCACAGCAGCATCGAACAGGAAGATATGCCTGCAGAAGAAATTATCATTACAATCAAATGAAAATGCCTCTCGTCTCTACGGTTCCTCTTTCATACCAGCAGCTAAAAAAACACCCAGCTAATTGTATCCTTGAGATTCTTCAGCGGGAGGAAAATTAGCATAATGACATTCATTTGCCATGGTACGATTCACTCAATTACATCAAGTAGTGGGGAAAAACAGGTTTGGTTTCATCAACTCTATGTCATCAGTTTATGTGTACTCTGGAAGGTTGCCAACAACATCTCCCCTCCTCCTCTCATTGAGTTACGGTCTGGCTTAACTTGACATCCTACCTGTCCTGTTTAGCCCGTCTGTCTACCGAGGCCACCCGTACCTCCCCATCGCCTTTGGGTCTTCCATAGTTGCTCAAAGGTTGGTTCTGGAAAAGCATAAGAAGAGAAAGAAAGAATAAATTCAGTCGGCGATACGGAAAACCAAACAGTCATTGTCTGGTTATTTGGACCTACCAGGTTTTCAATGGATCTCTGATACTGATCTATTTCTCGCAAAGTCTCGTTGTCCCTTTTGACTTCATTGACGTACTGCGCCAAGTCCTGCACACATGAAAAGACAATGAGTCCATTTAAATTTTGCTGCACAAAGAAATGCTTGCTTGATTTTCGTGAAATGAGTCTGTATACTTTAAATTTAGTTTTTTTTTAGATTTTGTCAGTTTGTAGCCCCAAACTTTTATGTATCTTACTGGGATTTAGTGGCAACACAACATCTGTTTGATGCATAATGGAAAATGAGAGAAATAATCAAAGAAAAAATAATGGATTGTAACATTAATCGGAGGACCAGCAAAGTTAAAGGTTAAAGGTAATCATGAAGGAGTTTCAGAGATCAGGAAGGAGACACTGTTGTTAGGATAAATATCAGACACACATTCTACCAACCTGGCCTTTATGGAAGAAAAGCAAGAAGAAAGACACTTTTAAAAGCCATAAGAAACTCTGACTGACATGGAAAAAGGGAAAGCAGGTTGTGTGAATGTCTGGTTCACACAAAGACATTTCAAAATCATCAGTTCATTTTTAAATCCTAAGAGATTCCCACAAATAATAACAAAATAAAATCCCAGATACAACAAAATTGAGTCGAACCTAGAATCGGATTTAATACAGGAAAATTCAGATGTTGGATGGGAAATCTCACAAAACCTCTGAAGATCAGATGTATGTTCAAAGGAACATGGTTGACAAGGAAGAAGAAGTGCCTGTCATGATCTGGACTGTTTGCTCCTCCTTAATTAGTCATTCCTTTCACCTGTTGTTTTCCCTCCCTGCCTCAATTATAATTTATTCCTCTCACCTGTTTCCTCTGGTTTATATTCAGTTCAGCCTGAGCATTCAGTGCCAGATCATTAACTGTTTTTCTGTTAGCCGATCTGTTCAGTTTATTTTCTTGGTTCATGTCCTGGATCCTGGCGGCCAGTGGAAAGAGGGTTTTAGTGTTTGTCTCGTCTTCTAATCGTCCACTGTTCCTCCCCTGCTGTGTCCTCTGGCTTTTTGGCTCTATATGCGGGGAGGTTCAGTTTTTATCCAAGTAAGCCTGGCTCCAAGGTGGAGACCAGTTTAAAGTCCTGCATCAAGTTCTGGTTCCGCGTCCTGTCTCGGCTACCCTCTTCCACCGAGCCTGCTCATCTGCACCTGATCCTGTCTGCTCCTGTGCATGACCACCCGTTCACGCTTTCGGACCCTGTCAGACTCTGAACCCTCCTGGGAAGTTGTGGATGCCTGGAAATTTGGATCCTGCTACCTGTTCTGTTCCTGCCTGATCTAGATCCTGTTCCTGTCTGTTCCTGTCTGTTCTGTATCCCTGACCAGGATCGGCTTCCTGCATGTCCTCTGGGTCTGCAGCTCTTGGGACATTCTTGGACTGGACTGTTAATACGGAGTGTCAGAGATTGGGCGGTGCCCCGCCCCCCCTCCTGCAGTATCCGCGAGCCACAGCTCCACTTTAGTTTTTGTTAATTTAATAAACCTTTTTGAATTTTCCTACTGACTGTCTCTCCTTGAATACTGGGTCCATCTGTCCTCGGTTCATGACAGTGCCGATATTTTGGCTTTGGTCAAAGAGGTGGAGCCAGCTCGAGTATAGCAGCTACTTTCTATACTATGGTATGAAGGAAAGGGGTGTTTTTTTAATTTATTTTTCTTTAGGAAACTTTTTCTTATTGGACACATGTAGGATTCAGCAGGCTTGTCTTCTCTTGGAGTACAGAACACACACAGACACATTAGTATATAAGGCCAGGACAAGTCCTGAGCGCTTCCAACGTCCGTCGGAGCAAAATAGATCACACTTAACACAAAACATGATGATTTCTTAAGATTATCTGTAGAGCCAACAAGGTAATCGGGGCGTAACATAAAACTACATATCATGAAACCCCATCTGTTAGACGCTGCAAACCACTTGAAACTGGAGCAGAGGTTCTCCTTACAGCAGGTCAAATGTAAACATAAGGGCAGAGTTATGATGGATTAAGTTAAACTGAATATTTATGTGTTACAAAAGTCCCCTCAAAGGCTGTGAAAAGAATCTAGTGTACATACTTACGCCTAATCTAACTGAAGAAATAACCATCTTAACTTAGTAGTGAGAGTGATTCATTCAGCTTTAAAGGTGGAATAAGACAGGGGTGTCCAACCAGTTTATCATTTTCATGCCTTTCAACGGGCTGCTTGCATCTGTTCAACGTTAAATCTTTCGTCTGGGGCTGCGTTAACATCGGTATCGGACGATGTCAGTCGTTTTTTTAATATCTCTGTATTTTCAGTGTGTAATTACAGTGTCCAAATGGTAAGAAAAGATATAATATATAATAAGTTATCAGCTGTAAATGCAGCGTCAATAGATATAGATATTGAACCAGATTTAGATATTGGTGCATTCCATTTTATCTTGAAAAAGATCCCACTACTCTAAAATTATAATTTTCCTTTCATTTCCTTTCCTTTAAAGAAATATTTTTTAAATAATATATACCTCTATTACATGCCAGGCCTTTTTTTGTCTTTTGAGGCCCCGATAAATTACCTTGCAGGGCCGGGCCCGGCCTTAATTTGGATTAGGTTGTTAAGACATGAGCCTTTATGTATAACAAGAGATTAATAATCTTAACTTTCTTCTCGGTTAGTGTTTAGAAAACTGTGTTTGGAAATACCTTCATCGCATCTAATGCAGTCCGTAGATTTGTTTTTTCTGAGGCATCATGGGTGTGTTTCACCAGCTCCTGTTGAACAGAGAAAAAAAAATCACAGCAATGTACCAAAAATGAGAAAGAACTGAGAGCCAATAAGAAATAGGATGCATAAAAACCTTAATATACACTGTTACCCAAAACGTTTATGCTCTGGAAAGAAAATTAAAACGTATGTGGGTAACGTCATCTATAGGATGTGTGTACCTGCTTGAAGGTTTGTATCTAAAATTACTCGCCAGCACGGCGGCAAAGATTAAACAAGACATCTAGACCTCGGTGGTGAGGGATAAGGATGGAGGCCATGCACGCATGAGGCCACACTAAGAGATACAGACCGGCATTACTCAAAACCCCAGTGTCAGTCAAGCTTAACCTGGACATTATTATTATCACAAGCAAGACGACAGAGAACTATTTATCAGTCCTGTACTCCGACCCCCCACCCCCGTATCAAGAGATACAGAGGATTGGAGCGGCCATGCTGATAGTAAGGCACAACATGATGGACTTATTGAGGGAGTGAGGGCAGAAAGGAAAACCAAGCCAAAGACGGATGGAAAGAAGAAGTAAAGAGAGAAAAAGAGGAAGAGACGTGGAGGGTAAAGACGGAAGGAAGTGACAAAACATTAGTTGGAGATATTCTGGATGTCACTGGGTGAGAAAGCACATATTGGTATTACCCAGCTGTTCTACAGGGAGCCCATAATGACACAACCAATGCACTTCACATCAATGTGTTTCATAAGTCTCCTTTTTACTTTTTGGCAGTGGTGCTACAGAAAGGTGGCCCGTTGGGGGCCATGCCCCCTTCTATTATTTGCTGTCCCCTCTTTCTCTGTTCCTCCCTGCTCAGACTGGGTTACATGCATTATCTCTTTGATTTATATGGGTTTTAAAATAAAGAGGCCCAGCCCCAAATGGGTCTGTCACCATAACACATTATGCTGGATAATAAATAGTCCCAGAAATTATTGTGATTAACAAAAATTATTGTTGGGTTTACTTCTTTAAATCCAGAGTGCTCCCACACTGCAGCTGCCACATTCAGCTTTGAAAGCATTTCTATCTCTCATCCAGCATTTCTCTGGCATGCTGCTCCTCAGTCATGAGGCCCTTATGCTACAATTGCTACACAAAAAAACAATGGGGGAGGGGTAAGTGGAGACCGATTTACCAGAGAAAAAGAAAAAGACATAACGAAGACAAGCAAGGCTGCAGATGGACATGGTTCAGTTTGTTTAAATGTATCATGTGATTAATTAATGTATTGTAAAAGAGCTGCTGTAGTATTTGTCTTTAAGTCATCCTTATAGATTTTTTTCTCTTCCATAGGCTACCATTCGTTTATATGGAGGTAAATCGGTCTCACTTTTCACAAATACACATATGTGATTCATACACACACAGGACAAGATCCACACACACACTCAAAAACAGCACTATTCACGCAAGCATACAAGATTCAGCACATGATTCGCCAAAGTATTTCTGGTCCATAAACGATTATAAATTAAATCACAAAGTATCAGTGGTCTTTAAACTTCACTGCATTTTTGTGTGGATTGTTAAGACTCCTGACATGCCTCGGTACACAAATGCCTTTTTTTTAAAGAGCGGATGGTTTGCAACCAATCACAAAGCTCCCTTGCATAAGCCAATCACAAGAGAGTAATCCACGTGGAATGGCTATTTGCTCCGCTCTGTTCCAGTGTTCTGTCAACTCAGCATGCAGCGTCACGCCAGCATACCCTTAGTAATACTTATTACATAGTTTCCTCTGTCTCCGCTGTCCTTACATCCAATTACTCTGTTTAATTTTGCGATTTAGTCAGGTTTTTGTCATAGTTTGTGTATAAAACAACAGAAAAATCATTCACTAGGTTTGTTAAACATGCATACATGTATGAATCACATATTTGTATTTGTGAAAATTGAGACCAATTTAGCTCCATACTTTTAGCCCCTCCCCCCAACTTGATGGCAGAACTTTGATATTGCCACAAACATACAGACAAGCAGAATTCCCTCAAGCAGCTGATATATTGGTGTTTCATGGTACTAAATCTGTACGGTAAAAGGCTCAATATGTGTATTGAGAGAAGTTTGTGTGAGTAATAAATAAAACTCCTCATATGAATATTTATTGTGTGGATGCCTTTTTGGGTAGACTCCATACCAAAATATTTCTACTGCTTCTTATTGTGTTTCTGCTCTATCTTCTAAAACCCCAAGTTGGTTGTTGCAGAAAGCTGTTAACAACAATCCTGACTCTGCTGGAAGTTTCTTCCTGTTAAAGGAGAGTTTTCCTCTCCACTCTCGCTTCATGCATGCCCATTTTAAAGGAATCCTACAAATAACAGGATGCAATTGAATGGCCACTGTTTCAACATGATCATTCAGGAGAAGTGAATTCTAAAGTCAAGGATTTGATGCAGTCTGACCAGGGTTTCTTTAGAATCAAACTCTGTATAGTGTCTTGAGATGGCCTTTGGTGTGAATGTGTTATTAATTCATTTGGTTTGTTTAATAGAGAGGCTGGACGCTCCTTCTTGTCAAACAATCCAGTCTTGTTGGGGTGTTTTTTGTTTTTTATCTTCTGCTCTTAAATGAACTATTTTACAGTATTTTAACGTACTTTAAATGTAATATATAATTACCTTCCACTGCACTTTAATTTATATAGCTTCTGTCTAAACTTTATTTATTCATTTTATAGTAAAACCCATTTGTATATATGCTATTGTACATAACTGTAAAAACCCTTTTTATAGTAATATCCACCTGTATATTATATTCAGTACATATCCAGCTTTAAATTTAGTTCATAACACTAGTGATCTATATATTATATTCATTATTTATAATGTTATTCATCTCTATACTTGTCCTATATTTATGGAACCATTATTTATCCTGCACTTGCTGCTATTGCACTTCTGGTTAGACCTAAACTGCATTTCGTTGCCTTGTACCTGTACCTGTGTAATGACAATAAAGTTGAATCTAATCTAAAAAAAAAACGTTTGCTTATTTAAATGTAGGCATTAGTGGATTATTAGTAACAGGAGACACCACAGCTTTAAAAGGTTCCAGTTTTAAAATTTGAAAACAAAAAAACAAAAAACAAAGTCCTTTTATTCCTTCCGGTATTAAGTTGTGGATTCTGAGAAAGAGCTGCCCACTTTCAAAACTTGCAGAAAGTTATGGTGTGAGACTTCGGGAGCTTTGCCCAGCCTTCTATTTAAGATAACATTATAACTAAATAAGATATAACTGTATATAAAAAATAAAAAAAAAGTTAGCTAACTATCATTTATTGTGTTTTATAAATGCTGAGCTAAAGCTGTGGTTCTCAATCCTGTGCTTCTCCTGTGCTTAATGTTTTAATCCTCTCTCCCCCAAAACAAGCATGCAACAGAATGCTGCAGAAGCCGTTTAATAATTCATTTTTGGCATGGGGAAAATACCTACAATAGGGATGAGAAACGCTGTGTCACAGGTGGCCGACTGTAGCCTAAAGTCAGACCAATTCATCAGCTAATACCAGGTGCTAAACCTGAGCTAGAGATTAAAAAAAACAAAAAAAACATCAAGCTTAAAATCTGACATTTCTGGTTCTATATTTATCCTAAAACATTCAACTAAATTTAGAGCCTCATCAGCTCTGAGTGTCATTTCAAAATTTGGGCATTTTGAACAGTCCGTTTTGCTCTTTTTTTGTTGTTGATATTATTGTAGAAATCTCTATTACTATTAATCATATCATTACTGTTACTTATAAAATAATGAACAAATTAAAAGGGTAGATGAGTGTCTGAAGAAGCTTCCACTCTCTTTCTAGGTGTTTGTCCTTATTGTTACACCTCTCCTCCTCTCCTCGCTTTATTCATTTGCTGCTATGCATTCATCCCCAATTGTCTCTACTGAGGTATAATTACACTGCATCTATTCTAAAGTCCCAGCCATAAAGCAGGTAAACAAAAAAGACCAGATGAGCAGCACAGCCTGAAGGACAAATGTAAAACACGGTCAATGCTGCCTCTAGTGGATAAATCGCTTCATCGCAGCTGTTAGGTTACAAAAGGGATTCATTTGTTTTAGATCAGTGACATGCAGATTGAACCTTAACATTTACTGAGAATTTAATGTTAAAAGTTGATAAGAATGTTGTCTTTAACAGTTTGATGTAATGATACAGACTGACATAATGAAAACCCAACTGAAAACAGGTCCGCAGAAAACATGGTGACTCAGAAATTTGGACAAATTAATCATAAAGATGGTTTGTATTATTGTGGTTTAATAAATTAAACATTTCTTACTCTCTCACAGAAGAAAACTAATGACTCTGTTTGTTTTTAATACACTCATAATGATCTTATAAAATCAACTATCAATTAAATTAATTATTATACAGCAATTTGGCTCCATTAATCCTCAGAAGAGAAGACAATATTTCTTTTTTTGATATTCAGGGCACTATTCAAGTTCAGTAACTTTACAGTAAGACGGTCCTCAGAGTAAAGACAGCAGCTGACCAGGAACATGACAGTTCAGAATGCCTTACCTGCAAAAGGAGATGATACTTCAACACCCGCTGCATGGGAACCACCAGCAGGTCTCTCAGGCTGAACTTGCCATAATTGGCTCTCTTTGAACATTCCTGCATAAAGTAAAAAAAAAGAGTCAATGATAAATACTTCCAACTATACATTAGAGACTTATAATACTATTTTGCTCAATTCCAGTAATAAAAATGAATTTGTCTTAATTTTTTGTATGTTCGCACAATTTTCTTCGAATTAATGCTTCACAGGTTTTAAAACATGTGCGGTGATTATCACTATCCCAATCTTGCAATGCCTCATATGCCCACTTGAGGGCACCCTCCATCCACTCTAAGCAGCTGAACCTACTGCATTTTTTACACTGCATCATAAAAGAGTATTTATTTATTGTTTAAAAGCAGATATGTTGCTGTTTACCTCTAACTTCATGCGTACATCCTCTCTGTTTTTGCAGATGTCATCCAGGGTGGCGATGGCTGTTTCCACATGGCTGCAATATTTCCCATAGATCAACAACCTGGATTGGATGAAAAACAAAAGGAAGAAAAGATTGGTTACAAAACTGTCACAGGTTATCATAGCTTGACTGTATTCCTTCATTTTAATAATAATTTTAAAGACGTAAAGTCATTTAATGTCCCGGAGCTAATGTACTACTGTTAAACTAACGACACTATAAAAAAGAGAAATCTGAATACACTGTGACGTTAAAATGATAAACATCTAGCTCAGAGTCTGTAATATTTTATGTCATAAGCATGAAAAACTACAGTATATCCTGCTTTAGAGAAACTCTGATGACATGATGAAGAACAAAAACAAAGAACAACCAAAACTAAAATGTTCCTGGGGTTGTTTGTTTTGATACCTCTCTTTGAAATTGATGAATATTTTGTAAAGGTTCTGGGAACTTCTGTTTTGGACTGATTCTTGGATATCCACCAGTAAACTCTTGTGAACCTCAACCAGGTCCTGGAAAACAGACAATTAACACCGATCATCAGAGATAAATTTCAGTTATTACAGCCAACAACATAGAAATATTAAACTAGCCCATGTTAAACCCTTGGTCATCATTCTATGTATATTGACAACAGAGCTATCCTAATGATCCAAACTAAAGGGCCATAAACTATAAAAGTATCTTTGATTGGTGCTGATGTCATATTGAATCAACATCACTGTCGGTCAAAACTCAAAGCTAAAATATGGGTATCATAACAGATGAATAGAGGAAAATGTTTAACCAGAACAATCCCTAGTAAAATTGATTGACCATTATTTCCTTGTCTGAAACTTTGTTTTTGTTTTATTTAATACTAAACAAAGAGCTTTTTTGAGTAAATGACATATCTCACAGTAGGTAGCACATGTGCACATTTATAAAACAATAATGCAGTAGGTGGCGGAGTGTGGTTTTATGGTTATTTTACTGTTTTGTTTTTACTACGTATGTTATTTTATTTTAATGTCTCATTTTAACTATGTATGCTGTTTCTATTGTGCGGTTTTGTTTTAACCATGAATTTTGTAGCACTTTGAGATTTTTTTAAATGTAAAGTGCAATACAAATAAAATGTATTATTATTATTATTATTATTATTATTATTATGCTCTCTTAAAAAAAAAAACTAAGGAAGGAGTAACCATTGAGAGGCAATGGAGCCATGTGAGTTAGCAACTCCCAGCAGTGGTGTTAATAAAAAGAGGAAAGCTTAATGATTAAATTTTATAAAGTGGCGGAAATTTGAAAAATAATTGTCAATGTAAAGTTTCTACTTTCTTGATAAGCTAGAAATAGTATATAAAATTGATCAGTTTTTTAACCATACTAAGCTCTGATACATCCATTGACATATTGACTCCCTTAGCAAGTAACTTTAAAATACAAAGAGAATTAATGCATTATTTTTTGTCATTCTTTACAGTTAGTATGTGATTAGGTCAAGGCAAAAACTATTCTTCGTTTGTTAGGCTGCAGTGTGGCCATAATAGTTTAATTTCAATCCCAAGCTGTCAGAAGGGGAATTTTATAATATTAGTGAATTAAAATGATAATTGTTATTTCAAGCTGACTGTATTCAAAGACAATAACTTACCTTAATATTTACAAACACCTTCTCCATCTCAGCCGTAGAGAAAAATGTAGTGAGGGGCAACATAAAGTGCTGCAGGAGAAACAGAGAAAAGAATGAAAACTGTTTTCATGAGAGCAATAGCGGGAAAGTCATATTGGGTAAGACATTATTGTGTTATGGAGGTCAAGCTGCAAAGAGCTGCAGTAAGCAGAAACAACCAGACCTGTCTGGCTTTCAGCAGTAATCTTATTTTCAGAGTGTGCAATTTAATGATTTCCCCTCTTCAAGAAGTTGCAGCGCATACTCAGCTCTGCATCGCCATGGAGTGGGTGAGCCAAACTAACTTCCACCAGCCGCTTCAAATCTAAAGTCATTTACTGAGTCACTCCACTGGGAAATCAAGCGAGGTAGATGTGAACATTCAAACGAGGAAGAAGACAGCTAGCTCTGACTGGAGGTCTGGAGGCTGTGGGTCTCCTACAGCCCTGAGAAAGTGCTGAGTAAGGTGAACGGCATCTGTAGGATTTGATCTTTTCTAAACAGTTTTTGATAAAAAACAAAAGAATCTTTCCAGATTATATTAATCTGCCTCTTGATTTCGAAGGAAGGAAGGAAGGAAGGAAGGAAAGAAGGAAGGAAGGAAGGAAGGAAGGAAGGAAGGAAGGAAGGAAGGAAGGAAGGAAGGAAGGAAGGAAGGAAGGAAGGAAGGAAGGAAGGAAGGAAGGAAGGAAGGAAGGAAGGAAGGAAGGAAGGAAGGAAGGAAGGAAGGAAGGAAGGAAGGATTCTTTATACAACAAAATTGTGTTTAAACTATCATTTCATAATATTCGTATTTACTTCCGTATTTATTTTCACCTGAAAAATAGCAAAATAAAATTCTGTACTTTTTCTACAGTGAGCTTGTTTTTTTTTATGTTATTTTATGATGTTTTATAGCAATCCTTTTTAAAAAACATGCATTAATAAAAAAAGGTTTTCTGTCATTACAACTGAATGCTGACGAGCTTCGAATGAAGTATAATAATGATGTTTTAAGTTGCAAATAATACTCTGCCTTCCAATTTGGTACTTAGCTTAAGCTTTTTTATAGGCAGTTAGATGTAACCATGATAAAGACCTCACAATTATGCCATCTATTTTTTATGACAAAAACAGTTTTACAAGCTCTTATATACATAACTAACCATTTTTATTCTAGCTGCTTTTTATGTATGATTCCGACTGAGTGTCTCAGGTCTTCCAACATGTTTAGCTGTGAGTTTGAGACACTTTTCTGGAAAAGAAAGTCTGATACAACTTCATTAGTTTAATTTAATGTATTTTTTGTTTCTTTTGGCTTGTTTTTCAAGTACGTGTTTAGGGTAGTTGGTGGTGTTATCTTGCAGCAAGAAAGTTCTGGGTTCAAATCAGGGTTTATCTGTTTGAGATTTGCATAATCTGATTACAGTACTCTGATTTCATCCCAAAGAAAAAAAAATATAGGAAACCTAGGAAAATGTGTGTTTTATGGAATACTAAACCTGCAAAGTTTTCATCTTCATCATTAAATTACTTTTAACTGAAGAGATCTATTATTTTTTCTGATGTACTGTACATTACGCTCCATCTGCTGTGATAAAGATTGGTTCTAATGGTAATATGAAATCTTTTGTTTTAACAGTCTAACAATGAACATTAAAGATTTTTTGCTTCCTTTTTCTTTGCCTTAATAACCGCCTGAGCAAAACAGACATGTCTTTTATAATTGGCATGATTTTTTTTTTTTTTTTTTTTTTTTTTTTTATCTTCACCAATTTGAAGAGTGACCTAAGAGGAATGGTGCTCAGCATCAGGCTGCATTCATGCACCAAGCAAACAGAAATTAAAAGTTCCTATACACATTGAGAACAGCTTAGGGAGAGCATATTCAATTCAAGCCAGACACATACTCACCTTAACTCTAAATGGATCTGTTAAAGTGCTCAAAATATGAACTCACAGGAAGTACTGACAGCACAAGGCTAAAACTATCCTCTTCCAATTATATAAGCCTACTTCAGGGTGCCATGGAGAGATGAATACCTGCTGGGCTGATATAAAAATGCATTTTCTCAATCAGGAAGCAAGTTTTTTTTTTGCAGTGACTCCTTCCAAATGTGTTTTCCTCATTATTTGAGGCTCTGGCGACCATCGGTTTGAACTTCCAACACTATAACATCATACAGAAAGCGAGGAGCCACATACGTCTTCCTTAACTACACACAAACACTTCAGTGTGCTTCCATGAAACATTATCGGGCAAAATGTTAACATTAACTCTATGGATCTAGAATGTAAAGTATATTACCAGTCTTATGTTACGGCTCCTTCAAAGCAGGGTAATGACCCCCATTTTTCAGTCTGTACGTACCTTGTGTATAGACTCCAAGGTCTCAGTGTATTTCTCCTCTGTCTGCTTGATCTCTGTTAAACAGCAGCTCCTGATGTCGATCTCTGCCTGCCTCTGGAACGTCTATACATACACACATATACACACACGTAGGCCGGTTACCATGTGTCAGTGCTGTGGGCTGACGAACCAGATGTATCCGATACAAGCCTCAGAGCGAGGTCAGGGGTTACACATGCTCTCTAATGTCTGCCAACATGGGAAAACAGTATTTTTTTTCCTTTTTAATAAACAAATACAGGGAAAATATAGCAATCTAACATGAGCATGAAATTATATTTCTTTTGTACTACTTTTAATAACTATATTTTGTTTCATTTGAAGACAGATTAGGCACAAAGTAAAAAGATTTAGCTTTTTTTAGTCTATGAGATTATATTGCTGCTTGAAAAAATAGTTTTTTCAGCATCTGGATCTGTGTTCAAGGTGACGTCTGGAGCACGAACCGGAGCAGGAACAGGTTCTGTCTTCATCAGGTCCTCGTAGATCTCCCCTCCTTCCTCGTCATCGTACACGCAGGCGTACAGATCCTCCTCGTCCTCCACGCCGTTCTCACTGCGGACACACGGGATGGAGCGTGTGAATTGGACCTCGTGACATAACACTGGTGTTTTATCCTCACTTTCTTTTCTTTCTTTTTTTCACAGCAAGCACAGGAAAAGCTCACAAAAAGTTCTGCTTTTACGGTTGCGGCATGGAATAATCCTGTGAGGAGAGGGCCGCTTTAAATCCAGGAGCGTGAAAGTGGTTCAGGAACAACTTACAAAATGCTTAGAAATGTAAGTCAGCAGGAGAGCTGACACTGTGGGATTTGGCATAAAGAAATCATGTTCTTTCTCAATGAATGGAGAACCACTAGTGGGAAGAGGGATCTATTCAGTTAAAATAAGTCAGAAGCTTTCAAATCAATTACTTTCTCATCATAGTAGCATAATTACACAATTTTAAAACCCTTCAAGCCAAACTGGTAGCTTGAGTATATTTTTTTATATAGTTATGAAACAACCCCACTGTTTAATATTAGGTTTTAATAAAATCATAAAAAGTTGAAACTACTTGTACAAATGTTCACAACACTTTTGTTTGACCTTGTTTTGCAGGAAACACATCTCTGCATTCTCGTTCTATAGGATATGTTTTTGGGATAGAGATAAGCATAACAAAAGGTTGTTGTTTTTTTTAGCTGGGGAACTATTTTTTGGTGTTTTTGAAAGATTAGTCTGATAAAATTCTAAATTCCTTTACAGTATATGTTCTATGAGCTTTTTATTAGAAATCGCCAGGTATCTTAAGAAGTTCAAGAAAAAAAAACGAAATACTTAACTCATCATACATATTCATGCATGATGAGTTTAAGATATAAGGATTTCGTGTGGTTTGGCTGCTGTACGTCGATTCTAGCGACTTTGTGACCCCCAAGATGACACTCTATGCAGATGATACAATGATGTACATCTCCTTTTGTACCACCCTGCCAACTGTTTGTGGTTGAAAGATAATCTTAGCCAGTGGTTAAGCAATATGAACCTCAATGTCCCGCTATATAAGACTAAACGTAAAGAAATTCATATCAATTATGAATAAAGGCTTTTTTCCGACAAACCCCCAATTTCCAATGACAAATTCCCCATCCTTCCGCTGACTTAGAAAGCCGTGTTTATCTCTGTCACTGCTACAAGCAGACTACTTCCTATACGATAGGAGCTGCCGGCGCTAAACACAGATCAGATCACTGTCGGGCTTCCCAACATCTTCATTACTGTAGACCTGTCTGCCCCCTCTGGTTTCAATTACATCGGCCTCTGTCTTTACAGTGCAGCAGGATATTCAACTGAAGAGTAATAAAAATATCCATAACCCGCTCTGCTGCGGTTTTACATTTCAATATGTTACAATTTCAAACTTCAGGGTATTATATGAGGAACTAACAGAAAGTAGCTCATGACTGAACTCAAGCTCCTTTTACCATGAAACATACACAAATCACAAATTCAAATTTATTATTTGAACGTTATACAACATTCAAATATAATCAAGCGGTAGATTGAGTCCACCTGCGTATAATGTAAGCTCAGTATGATCGGTTCTGTTAAGGGCTCAGAGGTTCGTTAAACAATGGAGAAAGGTTTATACCAGGAGTGTGTTATAGAACAATATTCCGAATTTTAGACATCTTAAAGATTCGATCCGTCATTTGGAAATTGAAATTGTATGAAAAGACAGCAAAACCACCAAGATATATGCATCAAGATCAGGCGATTGGTGGAAACAAGAGAAGCTGCAAAGATCAACAGCTCAGGTGGGAGAACCTTTTAACGGCAGTGCTATCAGGTCGGCATTTAACAAATCTGTGCTTCATGGAAAACAAATCCATCACTGAAGGTTTTGTTTGGGGATGGAGGAAAATTGGATGTTTTTGTATTTGATCTTTAACCCATAAACCCCACCCCCATCGGGTAGCAGTGGCAGAATCATGCTGTGGGCCTAGTTTTCTCAGCTGGGACGGTCAAGACAGTCAGAGCTCTGGAGATTTTTGGTTAAAAGCAGCAGAAGGTTGACGACTGTGGAGGTATACCCAACTATATAAATATCATCCAGCACTAAATACAACCAGAATTACAATGAGAGTCTATGTAATAGAATGGCTGAATAAAACTCCATTCTCATCCAGTTGAAAATTTGCAATAGAATTTTAAAAAATAGGTTAAATAATGCTCTATATGTCTTTCTTGGACTTACTCGAGGGGGCTTTACACAAATGTGTGCCAGACTTTTTTGGAAAAAACTGACATTTTTAAGCCACTCTGCATTAGTCTACCACAAAAAAATCCCATCAAAATATATTGAAATCTTCAAGATTTAATTGAATAAATGGTAGAAAAGTCGAATCCTTTTTCATGCCACTGTGTTTTAAAACGAGGATGCAGCAGCATTAAAGCTGCAGTTATTATAGGAAACAAAAAAAAAAAGAACATGGATGGCAGTTGGCAGACTGGTTCCAATAATATTCGCAACTACATCAGCAGAGAATCGATATTAAAAGGGCTACTGTGTTATTTCGGTGCACTGTGTTCAGATAAAGGATTTACAGCAGTAGATACGCACCAGCTGACCTATTTGAAGTTATTGCAGATTATGTAATACTATATAACTATATGCTTTGTTTTTAATCCCAAAACATCATAAATCTCACAACATACTTCGATGAAGTCATTGCAAATAAAAAAAATCATGACTTGATAGTTTTTATTCTTTATTCTCTGTGCTACGGGCCAAGAAATTAAATTAATAATATAATTTCTGGCATATCTAAGTATTAGCAGTTATTTTGTTTCAAAATCTGTTATTTAGCAAAGATCGGCTCATAAGTTTGTGCTAATTAGGGCGTGAATAACAAATGATGAAAGCCCAGTCCCACACAACTTGTGGTAAACTGCGAAAAGCTGTGGGGGGGCTGAGCGCACACTGAGAGCAGCGGAGGAGGTGGCTGCCTTCCAGTCAACACCCAGGGAACAAATGCTGCCCTAATCTGCAACGTTTAGTTGGGTTTTCACAGGCAGAAAAAGATTAAACTAAATTGACATAAGTAAGTCTAATAAAAGAGCAGAAGCGGGTAAGTGGAGGAAACCTACTCGATTAGGTCCTCTAGGTGGTTGTAGATGTCCTCATCTTCTTCCTCTCTCTCCTCTGTAGGAAAAGGTCTGTGGAAGGGAAGCAAACAATTTTTATAAAACAATTAATAGTCATGTTTTTGTGTGTCAACTATAATAATTGCAACAGACCTGATTCCAGTTTGTTGTGCGATGCTTGTGTGGGAAAGTTTGGACAGTGTGACCATCACCTGGAAATATAAAGAGACATTTATGATCTATAAAATGCTTCAAAGGGAGGAATAAAAACTTTGTAATACTTCATTTATAAGTATGGACACAAGAGGGCAGCATTTTCAAATACTTCAGGTAAAACTGAGCCCCTATTAATTTATATATTTTTTAAAAAGAACCATATTGTTGCCATCCCTCACCACAGTAAATTTTTTGCACTCAAACTTTTAATAGTAGATGCAGTTAAAGTAAGAATCTTCTGGTTTGATGAGGCTAGGCGAGATTAAAGAACCAATCCTGTCCAGGTTGGAGTCTGCTTCTTTTTAAATCTTGATCCACTTAGCATCCAGTGTATTTATTGAGATTTTATAGGACAAAAAAAAAAAGATTATACAAATCATAGAAGGAACATGATTAATGGCTTTAGCTCCAAACAAATGTCTGAAACTGCATGAAATGCACAGCTTTAAAAACCTCCAAGTCTTTTTTTTGGTATTTCTTAAACATCTAAAGACTGTTACTTCTGTCCAGTCGTGTACAATACAACTGAATTATTTTAAGTTTAAGTATTTCTTCTAGGTTTCTTTTAACAATAACAAATTCATGTCTAACACTTCTCCTGTTAGCAGATTCTCCTACCCGACTGGTCGATCTCTACAGCCCCCACACAATTCCCATAAGGCTCTTGGCTGCTTCTCTAATTAATGCTCTTCATGTCTTGCCTTAGACTGGACTACACTGTTTTTGTTTTTTAATGTTTGTCAGGTAAAGTATATAAAGATATAAACTAAAACAATTTATTAATCAGGTAGGTAGGAGCTGTGGCCTAGTGGTTAGGGCATAGAGCTTGGAATCCTGAGGTTCTGAGTTCGAGCCCCACTCCCACAGACTGCCACTCTGGGTCTCTGTGCAAAGACCCCTAACCCCACACTACTCCCTGCACGTCCCACGATGGCAGCCCTCTGCTCCCAAAGGTAGATTTCTCCAGTGTGAGATCAATAAAATGTTTACAAGAGGGGATCAAAACCAAGCTTTGTTTGAGCTTTATTTGTCAAAAGATAATAAATAAAACAAAGCATCTATTGGACTTCATGAAAAATCAACAATATTTTATGTGCAGATGTTAGAGGCAGAAACAAACTCTGCTTCATACATATAAAAATAAAACATTGCCAAAAGAGTAATTGATCAGGGGTTTGCATGATTACTGCCAGTCTATAATTTCACGCCGCTAGGCTCCTGTCTCTACCCTTCTTTTGACCCTTACTATGCACACGTCGCCGTCAGTTTGACGAATCACCCCTGAACTCTCCTTTTGTAAAAACCTTTGATATCCCTCATTTCTGCTTTGCCACTTCCCCCAGACGACCCTTCCACACCACACATCCAGTCATAGGTCATGGCTGCACACTTTCATTCACACCAAATACATCACAGATGTAACATGGACAAATCTGCCCCGCAGCGAGCTCTGCACGATCAATACTGATCACACAGCTGGCTTTCCCCTCCCTCCCACCTCTGCTCCAGCAAATGGAGTAAACAGTGGTATTCCGAGGATCATGTTGTTCCAGCCAACGTACTCCCAGCTCCAAACCAACACAACTCTGGAAGCTGTTTTTTGAATTAGTATCCAGGTTGAAACTCTTAGTAATGCCTAATAGGTAGACCTATGTGGATCTGTTACACTACATGTGCCACATCCGTCATTTCTGGGGTGGGTGATGAAAGTGACTGACATTTTCATCTTTCATCAATCCATTTAGAATGTTCCCAAACATTCAGTCACTCCCAGCGTGTTTCCAACAGAGTACGGTAAGCGAATAAGAGGGGATTTTGTTAGCTTCAGCTTCTGATCAAAGGGGAATATCAGTAGGAGGGAAAGTGAATGCTGGGAGGACATGGTGTGAATGCGGCTGCATGCAGCTCTGTAAGAGCGAATGACTGAAAATCATCAGAAGATTGATTAACTTGTACACACTGACTTTAAACTCCAACAAAACCAAGCCAAATCCACAGGAAGTAAATGGTGCGTTTTTCTATATCAGGAAAAGTACACATCAACATGTTCTAAATACATTATTTCCAACTCCCACGGCCCGCTCATATATACACGACAGCTTCTAGCCTGAGAGACCAAATCCAGGGTGAAAAAATAACATTTAATGCTTATAATCTTATTGCCTTGGGTGCCAAGGCATACACTGGGCGCACAATTACTAATCACATTTGGTCCTTAGAAGTACCTTATCTGCTGAGAGAGTACAATGCCCACGGTCAGTCCTAATGAAATGTAAGGGAATGGGTTTATTACACCCTGTAGGGAACTTAAAAAGCTGCGGTACATACTGTATTGTGGCAAAAACGAAAAATAAAGAAAAGGAGCTGAAGAAAATTTGGAATTCGTGCAAAAAACTCAGATTAATTGATGAAGTTTGTATAAAGTTTGTATAAAGAACAAAGCACAGACTTCATCTGTAAATATATGCGCATTCGCTTAAGGATTTAGTGTTTTGAAGGAGCATACTGCCAACTAGTGGCATGGCAGGGGAATCACCCACTTTAACTGGTAAACACAGATCATACTTAAAATGTCACAAACGGAAAAATGTCCTAGTTGTCATGTAAACAGAGCTTAAGAAGATGAGTATGAAAGAGTGTATCTGAGCTATCGCTATAGTTATGCTGCTATAGGCTTAGACTTCTGGAGGACATATGGACCCCTTTTTCATCATTCTGCTTCATTCTATCTCTATTCTCCCAATCTGCAGAATCTTTTACTTCAATCTCTAACTTTATGGTCTCTCTGCTTTTTCTCATAGTAGCTTTGCCTCGTCTGTTCCTGTTGCTATGACACCACTCTGGAGAGAAATATCAGCTGTCACCTTTGTTTGAAGATGTTGGAGATAGTCCTGTTTTTCAGCGAAGTTTTTTTTCTCTGACTGTGACTGGCTGGATGTGCTCTCTTCATCTTCTGACAGTGTGTTTACTGGAAGGGGCCGCCTTTTACAGTTGCTTTTTGTATCTCTGCTTCTGTCTTGAACCCCAGTCGACCTCGGCAGATGGCCGTTCACACTGAGCCTGATTCTCCTGGTGGTTTCTTCCTGTTTAAAGGCAGTTTTCCTCTCCACTGTCGCTACAAGCATGCTTAGTGTGAGGGATTGCATTCGAGTCAATGAGTCGATACAATCAACTGGTTTTCCTTAGAAAGAAAATGTTGAATCAATTTGACTGTATGATCTGGTGAATTGTAAAGTGCCTTGAGATTACATGTGTTGTGAATTGGCGCTATATGATTAAACTGAACTACACTGAACTGAAAATATAACAGACTATGACTAAAAATGAATAATTGGCAAAAAAAAGAAGAAAAAAACGAAGAAATCCTCCTTTGAGATCTGAAAATATGGTGCTTTATGGATAACAACCAATCATCAGTCTACAGTTGGATGTTTCTGTGTGAAGAAAGCTCCAAAATAGTTATTTTCATTACCAGTGATGTGTTATAACAAACACTCTGAGAAGCATAATAGATACAAAACTATTTTCTATTATGATTTGGCAGCTGGTTATTCAGACTGCAACAAGCTGAACTTAATTACAGCACAGTTTTATCATTTAAAGCTCTAAACCTCCATCTGACATAGAGCATACAGGATCTAAAAATTCTGAAAACTTTTTTGAAATATAAATTATGTGGTGGGTCAACATTTAATGAAAACTGACATTTGTATTGGTAGGTCAATTATGCAAGACCTGGAGTTTGGAAAAATACAAAAAAAAAAAATTTAAGCAAGCCTTTAAAGTCATGCAAACCATGCAATACTGCATCCCAGGTTTAAAATATTTTTCGTTCAAATGTTATCCAATTTTAGTCCATAATTGTTGGTCTGCAAAATTTTTAATAAATAAAAATGTCAAAAACAGACAATGTAACATCCGGCTTCATCAGTACAAGTTATGGTGGTTGCTGCAATGGAAAAACGACACATCAATGGGTCAGAGGTTCTTCCTTCTACAGAAACTCTTTGATGCACTGTCATGATGAATACTGATCTCTCCACTAATGAAGGAAGTGTATGACATCTGGTTGCCAGTTTGCAGGTACAGCACGTTCAGAGGCTGAGGATGTCTGGAGGATTTCCAGCTGTAGTTTTTAGGGGACTCTTGGGAATAAGCAGTGAGGTGCTACAATTTGTGGCTTCGCTGACTTTATGAGTCACACATTCCCGAAGTCAAATTACCATCTGTGTCAAACTAGAGACTCAGCCTCAGACTCATGAATTAGATTTGTCAAGACTCAGATGTTAGCTAATGATATTAGAGATTATGATTGCAATGAGATATTTGGGAGTTTAGCCTTTATTACATACATCTGATGTGTTCCAACAGTAGTGTTTCTGTTTCTATGGTATTCTTGATCTGCTTCAAGTCTTCAATTAAACCTTTTTCTTACTTGGAAATGTAATGTAGCGTTAGCTGGTGCAAGGTCAATTGTTCGGCTCTCTACCGCTTTAGAAATGCACTCGGTACCCGGCTCAGATCAACAGTTTAATGATCTTGAAGCCTTTGCTGGCTGATTGTTCAGTTGAATATTTGAATAGAAAACTGTGGAGTCAATTCTTTGTAACTGAGAGCAGAGTTTTTCTTACACCACTGGTTGAAGACAGGGTTACAGTAGCTGAGATCCACCATAGAACTCACTGCGTATTGTATGTTATAATAATGTTTGGTGTGCTCATGTTCCATCCATTATTAATATAAAAATGATTCCCTGATAAAAATGCAGTGTGAAGGAAAGTTTTTTTTACAAATGAAGACAGAATATTGACATAACTTTTGTTCCCAGTGACTCCAATAACCTGTTTACTTTTTGACGGTTATTTTTCATAAAAAAGTACAGCAGGCCCACTACATACCTGCTTTAAGCCTGGTTTATGCTTGCACCCTTGCCCTTACCTTGCAAGCAAGATTAGCCTAGAATACGGATATGTTTCGAACCAATGAAATGCAGTGA